ATGCTTGAGATGATTTCCTATTAATGCTGCCATTATATTTCATAAAATTATCTTAAAACCTAAATTTCTATTTCGTTATAATTGTTAATACAACCGAGGGTTTGGCAAGCATATTATTTGTACCTGTTTGTAAGCCCGCATTCGTGTCCTGTCGACGTGTTTCCTGTAGACGAGCCAGGCGATGATGGTGAGCGACAGCATGGCTATCACGCCACACATAACTATGATGTAAACCGAATAATCGGCCTCCCACACAGTCACGTAGCGAGATAGTTCATGCTGCAGGATGCTGGAGCAGCATTCCACGCGAACCTGCAGCACAACATTACTATTACTGTATCATTAACATTACAATTAAATATCATAAAAGTTATCCGTGTTACTCCGCATCACCGCACAAACTATACGTCCTTGCTATTAAGTTTCATTATTCGTACCTACATCACTGCGCATATTTTACGGTACTTCATGGCAATTAAATTTCATTGCAGATGAAATCAATTCAATCGACGATTCAATTAGTAAAATAACTTGCATTGCTTCCCTCGCATTAGCTCGTTACAATTCTATTTGATCGAATAGATTTCGTGGAAAATTGGTCCACAATTAGTCATCAATGCCTTGAGTGAAAAATACTTAATACGGATCGAAATTAGATAATATTACTATATTTAGTATTTATGTTAAATATTTCATTACTTCCTTGCATCGCTTTGAAATAACATGAATCCCTTTGTTAACAAACTTGGCATTTGAAGTATCCGAAGTTGTGTACGTCGATGTCAGTGACGACGATATGGGAGCTCAAGAAGCTTGCGTTGCGCTCCGTGAACTGCCTGATCTCGTTGAAGTTCTCACACTTGGTCCTGTATGGCTGGTCGTCTAGAGCACACCAGCTGCATGCAAAAAAAAACATTGCTTGCAATACAAACTTTTTCTTGTGGAATAGACTTATTGCTTGCAAAAGAAACTTTTAACTTGTAGAACAAACTTATTGCTTGCGTGAAAGAAACTTGATGTTTGCGAAACAAAATTATTGCTTGCGAAAGAAACTTTTTGCTTTCGAAACAAACTTTGCTTGCGAAACAAACGTATGCTTCAGTCCTTTCATGTTCATGATGAGCATGTCTAGTATATTTGCTATCGTTCATTAAACCAAAAATAAAATATTCTGTTCGTGGATGTTAGTTCCTCTACCCCAGGTTTTATTTCCATGATAATTGGTAAACTTATATTTTATGATCAACCATTTTTATAGACCTTTTTTAAAACCTGCTGGACAGGAAAGTGTATTGTTCGGTGGATTTAGTAACTGTCGTATAAATTTTCGTAAATGTAGGTTTTTCGTAAGCATCATTGTATCAAATGTTATTGAAGATTTAAAAAGTTTGATGATTGATAGTGATTTCCTGATATTTTCTTTTATCTTATCATGCCTAATTTCTTCTCTCAAGTTTGCGATGTCTGTAGCATTAAATTCCGAAGGCTACTTTTTATAATTAACCTAATTTCGCAAGCATTGCTTAGCTCACCTCTGCGGTGGATCACCGCCTTCATATTCCCAGTGAAGTGAGGTGTCTTGGAGGAATTGAGAAGTTCCATTTTCCGTGATGCCATTTAATCTGCAAGTAAACGCTATTGTGGATCCTTTTTTTACCAAGTTCTTGTCTGGGATGAGCGTGAGCGACACTTGCGGTACCAGCGCCCTGCAGCTCGTGTAGCACGGAGAAACTTCTACCGTTGTCGGTCCGTCGGGGGTTGACGGTTGGCTTGGCTTGGTAAATTCTGGTGTCGCTTGTGGTTGAGAGACTGAAGGTGCGGGTGTTGGTTCTGGTTGTGGAACTTCAGGTGCTGGTGTTGGTTCTGGTTGTGGAACTCCAGGTGCTGGTGTTGGTTCTGGTTGTGGAACTCCAGGTGCTGGTGTTGGTTCTGGTTGTGGAACTCCAGGTGATGGTGTTGGTTCTGGTTGTGGAACTCTAGATGATGGTGTTGGTTCAGGTTGAGTCACTAGAGGTTTTGATGAGGCTTCCGGTTTCGATTGAGTCACCACAGGCGTTGGTGTAGATTGAGCTGGAACTGCTAGTTCATTTTGTGCTTGACGTACCGGAAGTCCGTTAGAAGGGTCATCGTCACCTCCCTCAGTGTCGTCGTCAGCGGAATTTATGTCGCCACTTCCCTCTTCCACTAATGCGTGCGCTTCGGGATCTGAATGAGAGTGAATTTCTTTCACAATGTAGGGCCCCAATTGTTTGCCGTCATAGGTATTGATCGTCGCTATACTGCCAATAGTTTCAGTCGATACTTTGTTTAGCGCGATTAATGCCATAAAAACGGGCAGAACCGCCCTCATGGTTATAGTCCGTACAGGTTTGCACATATTACCATACAACTGCTATAAGTATTAGTAAGATTTTTGTATGAATCGAGTGTCACAGCACTTGTTAATGTGGACTGACGTGTAACAACACTGGATCTACATAGAGGTCTTCATGCCTTGTTGTCTTACCCTATCTGATAAAGCGTTTACGTCACTTATCATTGCCAGCCGCCAAGCGTTGAACTGATAACGCGCGTGATCGCCCCTTGCTCTAACTCCGGAACGAGCAGCAGGCATTTTTTCCTCCATTGTGAGAGCTTTGAATTGTAATATAACACGCCTATCTTCTGAGTCACCTTCTTACGCTTATCGTCTATTGAATAGGCTATTTAATTTTATCTTTTGTTTGGCTCTCATCTACTGAAAATGCAGGCAATAAAACAAGTTTAGCAGTTTATCCTTAAGTCACCGGATGTTACGACACTCTGAACGTCTTCTGAATGTTTAAATTGAAGCTATTAACTTATTATTATATTAACATGTTAGGTTCAATTCGTTAGGTTTTCGCTCCAGATCAAACTTTCTTCTCACCGATCATTTTGTTTTTTGATGGCTTTTGATTTTTTTTCTCGAAACTGCATGTTGTGATTTTTATGAGCCTCGTCCATTTTATTTGTAATTGAAAAATTGGTTATCGTAAAGACGTAAACTATTTTCTCGTATCTCTTTATATCTTGAAATCAATCTTCGAAGCAAACAGTATTATCCAGCACGGTAAAATAACTAACTAGTCACATTTTGAGTGAACTTTCTGATTTTGAGTGTTCTTTTAATTTAATCGAATTAACCAGCGCCTTTTGCTTTGCAGCCGATATCCACAACATGAAGACCTTCATCGAGTCCCATAAAATTTACTACGAGAAACAAGAGAAGAAAGGCCTGTGGGCTTTGGATCTCGCGAAAAGAATTCATTCTGCTGAAGGTATGCAAATTTTTTATTGCTGGTTGCAATGATGTGCGAGAATAAATATTTGTCTCGACCACGTAAATTGCTAATATTCCTATTGAATTCATAGGCGAATTAATTTTTTTGTATCAAAATGTGTTCACAGACCAAGAGATATCTTCGTCTGCTTTTATAAATCATTTTGTTAATTCGCAAGATTTATTTGAATCCAATTGCACTCGCACCGTCTCAAGGAATTTGTTACGACTTCATTGCGCTGCCGTGGCGCGTTGGGCTTTATAGTTCGTGCAAGAGTTCATAAGCATTTTACGGTTGAACTACTGACTTCAATTCTTTTAATTATCTCATCTTAGGGCCACTAAGAAACCAGCGCAGGTGAGTTTATTGTACCCTAGAATTAAAAATGAGTTTATTAAAAGATAATTTTCTGCAGGAAACTAAGTATTTTATATTCAATGTGTTTCAGGTTCAACGCAAATATCACCACTGTTACATACGTGGAAATCCACGTACGCCTGTCAGTTGGCCTTAATTGCAATCTTATTTTGTCTTAATTGTCGGTAAAGTTTGCTGAGTTTGCATTATTTTTATTCTATTCTCTACATTGATCTTTTTTCAGGCAAAGAATGTTTGGACGAAGAGACTCTGTCACGGCTGAACTCGACACTGCTAGCGATGCAGTCCAACATGAGTTGTCAGTACGATTCATTCATAAGCAAAAAGAAACGCGAACTGAAAGGCGACCGCCTTGGCCTTGCACTTTTGCCTTCCTTCGAGCAATGGATCGACAATTTCGACGAAGAGGAGGAAGGTTCGCCCGGCGAATTTAGTGAAGACAACGCCTATTACACCGACAATCCAGAAAATTCCGAGAGAAAGATAAGCGTTCAAGAATCCACCGTCATCAAAGAAGAGTCCAAAAAATCCACAGTTGAAAAGACGAAGATCGAGGTTCCTCCTACTAGTACCAAGAATTCCGTCAAGAAGAAACGAGGTCCTTACAAGAAGAAAACTCCTGAGGAGAAGAATGCCATGAAAATTGCAGGCGCTAAAATTGAACAACTTCTGATGGGCGCTTCAGAACCAAGATATGAATCCAGTGACCGCAGTTTGGACAATAAATGTGAAAGCTCCGCTGAAAGTCTACCTGAGAAAAACATGGACAGGAAAAAGCCCAAGAAGAATGCGGCAGGGCATATTAATTTTAATTACGCTGAACAAAATCATGACAGTGATTTTTCAGATGGTCCGTTTAAAAATGACACCACAGCAATGCGATCATCTAGAATTTCGAACAAAAAGCCTGTAAAGGACAAGATTAGAAATTTTACCACCGATAGTGCCTTACAGAAACCTCGACAAAAATTAAGTGACGGGAAAAGTAAGAAGCCAATTTCAGTTAGCGGTAAATATCTATTTGGTGACGACAGCAGTGACGAAGATAGCGATTTTGAGAACTCTGAAACAAGTAAGCAGACGGAAACGCCTCCCAATAAGCCTGAAGTATGTGATCGTCTCGGAGCAAATCATGTAGTTAATAATCAGCCTAATAAGACTCCGAACCTGCAATTAAAGCTGAGTGAAGAAACACCTCCATCGCTACCTATTGGACGAAGCATTCATGGGATTGCCAAGATAAGCCGTGTATTTGATCGGGAAGTTGTAACTAGCAGTGCCAGACCTGATAGAAAAGCTCGTAAAGACGAACCTGTCAAGTTAGGGGCAAGAAATAAACACGTTACGCCATCATATAACGTCAAGGAAATTGGCACTCTAATGCGAGAAACCATGAAGGAGAAACAAAAGCTACTGAAGAACAACCGCTCCTCGAAATCTCTTGCTACACGAATCCCTAGAACAATTTCTTCTCCAACTGTTAGCAAACGCCGCATGCCGCTGGCCATTGCTCCACCAGTAAAGTCCAAATCAATGCCGACTTATAAACCTACTTCTCAGGAACTTTTGAGCTCAGAAGACAAAATTTTGACAAATTGCCAATTGCTGGACAATGACTCGTCAATGTTCAGCTCGTCTAACTCTTTGGATGACAAAACCGTTTCTTATAATCGTAATCCACTTACGGAACAAAAAAGCTCAATGAAGGCAACAAATAAACTTTCCGATGAGAGTATGGACTCATCTTCAGCCAAAGATCTTACAAGTCTCAATTTACTTGATGATAATATTGCCTCTGATGCTGCAACTAGCGCCTCATGCTCAGGCTATTCCAACGAGGCCAGAAGTACTGAAGAGGATGCAAGCGCCAAAGAGCCTGGAAGTACCGAAGAGGCCATGAGCACCAAAGAGTCTACAAGGACCAAAGAGTTTGTATGCACTGAAGTGGACGCAAGCACCGAAATGGCTGCAAACACCGAAGAGGCAGCAAGCACCAAAGTAGCTGCAAACTTCGAAGAGGCTGTAAACACCGAAGAGACTGCAAGCACCAAGGAGGCTGCTAGCGACATGGAGGCTGGTAGCGCCATGGAGTCTGCTAGCCCCATAAAGGATGCTAACGCCAAAGAGGCTGCTAGCACCAAAGAGCCTAGAAGTACCGAAGAATATGTCAGTCCTGAAGACTGTGTTAGCACTGAAGAGCCTGAAAGCACCAAAGAGACTTCGTCTACCGAAGAGGCGGTAAACATCAGAAAAGTGTCAGGATTTGATAAGGAAACTAATCTTCCAAGATCAATTTTGATGCAAGATTCTCTGGAGTCTCCCGAAATCTGTAAAACTGAGACTCAGCACAGCGAGACTGAGTGTTCGACCGAGTCTCATGAAGTAAATAACCCTGAGACTCGGCACAGTGAGACTGAGGATGCGACCCAGCTAGTATCAGAAACTTCGAAGTTGCCTCGACAAAACTGTGTTTCTGACGATGTTTTTAAGGAAAGTTCTGCCGCTTTCCTCAAGAGCATTCTCAACGATGATCTTGCAATGTCAAGTGACTCCGAGGACGATGATTATCTAAACGATGATCTACGTTCCTTTCCTTGTTCATCAGATAAACCAAGCAATCCCTGTTCGGGTCAAGAAGTTAGCATGTCTGCTGCATCTCCAAGACAACCTCCTATTGCTCTATCTAATCGCTCGTCTCCTGTGGAATCGTTGAGTTACCATAAATTACCAACTTTAGCGATGGAAATTATTTCACCAATAAAATCGCCATCTTACAATCCAAGCACCGATTCCGCAGAAATATCATCACGAACGTCTACCCCAATGAAAATTTCGTCGAAGGAATCCATCTCTGACAAAGACTGTGGTACTGTCAAGCACAAAATTTTATCTTTAGCAATTGAAGCAGCCAATGTACAAACAATTAATGAACCTGCAAGTAAAGTGCAAGGTACTTATTCTCCAGTAGTGGTTGTGAGTTGCCCTACTCCTGTATCGGTAGCAGTGGACGAAATTCGTGGGAATGCTTCGTCAATGGACAGACGCAACACTTCGAAATCAGATATATCTATTTCTGCTAAAAAAACGAAAGCAGCAGAAAATGATAAGTGGATAAGTATTAGGGGAATTTATACTGGTCTAGACCTAAGTTTGACTGACGATGACTCGGAAAATAGTTTTCTGACTAACAAGACTGGAGCCTGGACAGAATCTTGGAACCACAACACCGAAAAAACTCTCACTCCGACCTTCTGTGAGCCGGAGAGCTCTCAGGTTGATCGTTGCAAAGAAAATTGTGATAAGAAGTTGTGTTCGTCGTCTACTGTTGCAAGTTCCAACACTGAGGATCATTCTCATGGGGCTGATGGAAAAAATGACGATGTTGTTGTCAGCTCGATTTGTTTGAGTAAGCAAAGCACGTATGATAAAACAAACTTTACAAATACCGATTCAGAAACCATTAATCAACGCAGTTTGGATGTTACTCCTGCTAACTCTTCTGTCTGCGAAAACTCTAAAGATTGTAATTTTGAAGGTTTTACTTCACAGAAAAAAGTTCCTTGTACCGACCTAGATACTGCCATGGTTGTAGAACCGACCACGCTTCCAAACGTCCTCGACCAAGTTCCAAGTTCATGTCGAGCAAACATTCCTGGAATTCTAGGTAGAAATACGGGTGAGAAGACTCGAAGATTCAGCGGCAGTGAAAGAGTCGTTGCCGAGTTTGAATCACCGCATTCTTATAGTCTTAGAAGACGCTCCTCGTGTAGGGATCCTCCAAACGAAAGTACTCCAATCAAAAGCACTTCTGCCCAACGATCTAGGAAGGATTCTACAAAGAAAGCAAAGGCTTGTAAGCAACCTAATTCTCGCTCTTTAAATGAACCAGAGGCTGTTGCTGGCGATGAAGATCTGATCTCTCCCTGCGATGTATCTTCCATGGAAACCCGCGTCAAAATTATAGAGCCAGCACAAAATTCATTTTCTGATGATTACAAGAAAAATATCCGATCAATCTTTGACTCGCTAAAGTCACCCGATTTATTGATTGAGGTTCCTAATTTTGTACTACCTACTCATTTTTCGGCGGAATCCAAGTCATTGGTTGGCCCTTCTTTCACAGAGGTTCAAAAGGAACACAGTGTAATCCAAAATTCGTTTGCTCCTTCATTGCGGCGCTGTGAACACAAGCATACTCTACCTCTTCTTCCTGTAGTGGAACCCGCCTCCATTGCATCATCTTCTGACGTCGACGCGACCGCAAACGAAATGGTTATGAACCAGAAGCCTTTGGATACCTCATATCCACTTGTTTCTGGCAACGATACCACAATAGAAAAAAAGTTTTCGAACCTCGATTCTGATGAGATTTCCACTGAAATTGTTGCCGGTAGTACAAAGATGACAGAAAAAACTAACGAGTGCAACGACGCTGATGAGATTTCCACTGCTGTTGTCACCGAAAGTTCCTTGGCGACGGAAACAACTGCGAGTCACAATTTTGATGAGATTTCCACTGCTGTTGTCTCCGGCAGCACGCTGACGATGGAAACGGCTGCGAGCAACAACGCTCATGAAATTTCCACTGCTGTTCTCACCGAGAGTTCGTTGACGACGGAAACAACTGCGAGTCACAATTCTGATGAGATTTCCACTGCTGTTGTCACCGGCAGTGAGGTCATTTCTGTAAAGATAGAAAATAAGCAGAAACCCGTCGCTACATTTTTACCTGCTGTAATCTTGCAAACGCAGCAACGCTATCGACTACGGAAAAAACATTCCCCTTCGATTTACTCGATTCCGCTGAAATCGAAAATTTCTGTTGTCGAACGCGAACATTCAAAGTCGAATGTGTGTGATCTCGGAAACGATTGTGTTGAAAGCGTCCCAACCGAGGATTCCGATAACGTTGAGCATCAGATGAAAAATTCACCTCTTACCTCGGCAAACAACGAAAATGACGTACCTGCAACAAGTAATGCTCATGAGCATTATGCCTCATCAGAAAATACAGAAAATTCAATTTCCCTCTCAAAGACTTCTTCAACCACTTCTCAAAATAGTTCATCATCTTCTACCGTCATTCAAAAGGATGACGAACTGGAACGCGATCAGAACTCACCACCAATTGTTAAATCCTTCCCTCCAGCACGCAAGACCAAAATTACATCACTTGACGCCACTGACGGAACCTCACTCTCTGTTAAACAAGAGATTCTGGTCGACCCCACCAGCAAGGCCTCCAGAAAGAGAAAAGCCATGGTTTTCAAATCAACAAAACGAGTCATAATTGATTCTCCCCCTCGTCCTGTTGCAAATTTTCGAAAGGTTAATAGAGAGACAAAGAAAAATATGAAAACAGACGGGGAGAAAATCAAGAAACCATGCAACAAGCAAGTACAGCAGAGCGTCATCATTTTGAAGAAGAGTTCTATGCATAAACTCTCACAAAACAAAGTAAATGTTAAACAGAGTGGTGACGCATCACTCAGATCTCGTCAAAGCACAACGGATACTTCTGACCTTGATGTTAATGCCATCAATGAGGAAACGACGAAAGCTGATGTCGATAATCCCAAAAGCAGAAATTGTATTGGTCTATCGAAGACAAGCAAATGTGATGAAGTTGCGAGTGCAGATGAAGCTCGGCAGTTGACATTAGCTCCCAGATCGCAGGAAATGAACGTCAATTTTACTAGCAGTGACTCAGAATCAGAGCCAGAGCTCCGTATTATTATTGATGAACTTACTGTCGAAGCTGACTTTGTGAAATGCAAATCGGGTCATGAAAATTCTTCCGTTATATCGCCTCTTGGTGCAATCGTGCAAGAAGGGCTTACTATTGAGAAAAGTAATGATGTTTCTGGCGATTTGGTCCGCGGCTCCGAAAATGGTGCAGGCAGCGTGTCGATTCGACCCGATAAAAAGAAAAGAGTAATACCAGACGATGAGTCCCTCGAACCATCAATTTTAGGTCAATGCAAAAAGTTAAAAACCGATCTCGTTGGACATCCGAGTAACGAATTGAAACCTGTTGCGACTGAAATTGTCGGAACTAAAAGCCCCCACACAACTGTGAAAGTTGGCATTTCGACACCTCGCCAAACGGCAGGAAAGAAGGTAAACTTTTCTGCCAGTCAGTTGAAAGAATTAGAGAGAAGGAAATCCATGTCTAATCCAACGTCGAATATTGTATCCAGAACATCAGGCCATCTAACTCCATCAAACTTTAGTGCAACCCTCAGCGCAGCCAAGTCAAAGGTATCTCGTGCGTCTTATTCTCCCAAGAATGCTTCGACATTCGCGAAAACGTTGCCAGCAGCAAGAGAAAAGAAAGTAAACATGAAAAGAACGCCAGGGCTTTTAAAATCGGCTGCCGCTGCTGCAACAGCTGCTGCTCGCCGCACCTTTGTTGGGACGCAGCGACCGCATGGTTCGCACATGAAACGTGTCCTCCCACCTGCAGATGATAGCTCCTCAGATGAGCTCTGTATCAAGCGAAGCCCGGGAAAGAAAATGCTCTTGGTTGATAGTGATTCTGAGACTGATGATTTTGTGTCACCAAAGATGTCAAGCTCAACATCTTCAAGTGAAAGATTTGCTAAAAAGCGTCGAATAAGCTCAGAAAATTCACCGCTTTTAAATAGTCAAAACCGAACTTTGGGTTCAGTTCTAGACAATTTGTCACTAAAATCGGTTCATGTGAAGAAGAGCTCCATTTTATTAGGAAATAAAATTGATTCAAGTAGAAAAAGCAAGACTGACAATCCATTGATCGACAGTCCTGCCATGCTTGATAAACTTTCACCCAATTATACACCTGCAAGACATAAAACTCCATTGGATTCTGACCTTCTCTCCAGCACATCGGAGACAGGGTCTACTACTCTGAAATCTATGATTGATCCTCACTCAACAAAATCTTCCAAAACGCTACCAAAACATGGTTGCAGTAAGATTGAACCTAATTTGCGAATTGATGTCCCCTGTGACTATCCTGCTGTAAGTTCAGCCCCTGCAAGTTTTCACTCCGGTCCCAGAAACATAGCTCCGACCTCAGCGTTGTCATCTACTGCCTCGCTTCCCGGCCCAAGTAAGAAACGTGATTTGACTGACATAATCGGATGTTCGGCTGATAATTCTCCCAAAGCTGTGAATTCAGGTGTTAATTCTGAATTCCGCGATAATATTAAGCCAATTTCCTACTTCGGGAAAGATATCTTGGCAACTACTAACTCAGAAAACGAGTCAGCTTGTGATCTTCATAGCTCTGAAGAGTCATCCGTGTCTGACGTCGATGATGATAGCTCTCCACAGACCGTCACCGATTCAACGGAACTTTATCCTGTTCTTAAGCTAGCGGATCCTGAACTCGATACGAGTCGTTTTGAAGACGTATTCGCCGAGTTCAGCGCTTTGATAGAGACTCAGATGCAAGCTCGTTTGGGATCCTCTGATTGGAAAACTGGAGTGCATAGGCTCGTTAACGCGCTGCAGAGACGTCTTGCCAAAGTCGCTTCAGCTTCGATATTGAGTCACTTGCGACCCGTTGCTCGTGCCTTTATCGAGGCTATCTTGGAAATAGATCCTCTGGATGATTTACCTCTTGGAGCCCGAGCTTTGTGCCCAATGCTTTACAAGCTGTTTATGCTTGCAAAACTCATTGAAGCGAACGTAAGCACAGTGCCAGCCCATGCCCTGGAAGAACTCATCACGAGTACATGTGAAAGTTTGATATGCAACTCTGGTTTCACTGGATCCAGTGGCGGAGAAAATGCTCCCACTTTATCAGCTGCATCCGTTGCAAGCTTGTGTGCGTGGCACACGGCCTCCTGCTGCGTGGCAAAGAAAGGAGATCGTAAACCTCAATGGCAGCGATCTCGTTGCTTCATAGTGAATGTTCTATGCCACTATCCTGGCTCAGCTCACGCTGCGTTACTTGCTAGTCTGTTCCTGGCTCGCTTCGTGTTCCTCAGAGTAGTCAAGTACCGCTCCAGCACCGGTCTGGAACGCGTTATTATATGGCTTGTGCACCACGGTGAATGGATTGGCAAACGCAGCGTACGAAAGCTTCTCATCGAGAACATGATCCAAAGGCATTCTTGTGTTAGTCCTCCCGCTGAACCTCTGATCCTTGTTCGCTCAATCGTGGATTCTTTGCTCCAGACAAAGAATAAGGCGAAGAAATTCATCTTCTTGGACTATCCTCAGAACATCAAGACAGCACTCCTAGGCTTCGAGGTTCTTGGCTGTTGGAAGAGGAAGCCTTGGGTGACGAATGAATTGTTACCGTTTTTGGTAAAAGTTTTGGCATCCAAGAATCAAATACCGGCATCTAAACTCTGCCATTGTATTTCTATCATTACTGGTAAGTTTGTGTGTCGGATTTTTGTAACTAAAATGAAAGTAACCTTAGCGATCACATCCTTCTTAAATGAACTTTTTTTTCAATTAGACTCGCTAATAAGATTTTGTTTATAATGAAGGTTGTTATAGTATTGATTGATATGTGACGCGTTACTTTGGGCAGAAAACCCTTTGAGTTGTTAGAGCCTAAAACCGTTAGAGTAAAATGGTTTCTTGGCAGTTGGATTTTTCTTCTTTGTTATTCTGTGCAGTTTCATCTAACACATGTACTTTCTTGAATGTTTTGTGCTTGGCTTCACTAAGTGTAAGCAAAATGTAACAATTATTGCGTTATTTACCAGGTGCTGTACTGCCTCGTGTCGGCATCGACAAAGATGAAATACGGGAACTGTTGCAGAAAATTGAAGGTGATTTTGTTTCTAACTTTACTCTGCTCACTTTCTGTTCTCGCTTTATTGGCGTTTATTTTTTTATAATTTTAAATATTACTTTCGCTCATCAATGCAATAACTAAAAATATTTGTATCAATGTCCAAGTTAACTTCATTCATTTCCAGGTATGTTCAAGTTAATCAATTAATTGATCAATTACAGCCATTTCTCCCGCTTTACTACTCCATTGCATTGATTTTGAATCTCCGTTTATTTTTATCGGCTTCCGTGTATAACTTTTTTCGTTACCTTCAGAAGACGGAGGTTCAGCCTTGCTCACAGCGTCGCGCTTCGTGGACCCAAAACTGCAGCCTGACGACGCTCTAGTGCCGAAGCTGCTCAGCGCGCTCGCCGATTCCCTCCTGAAGATCATGCACGATCAAGACGCCTAGCACGGCGGCTCCATCGTGAAGATCATGCACGATCAAGACGCCTAGCACGGCGGCGTCATCGTGAAGATCTGCCGTCATGGGCTACTGATCGGTCTTCAGGGTGGGCAGAACTGCTGAAGCGAACCTTTCCTGATCCTGACAGCCAAATCTATTCATCGATGAAATCAACTATTATTAATCCTCATGTTCAGTCCCGCATTGAATTTAAGTTTCCTACAAGATAGGTATGAACCTGCTTTATTTAAATTAGTGACCGCGTTAGTGGGATCTTTTTACATTTCTTTCTTATATCTCTGAGCTTTTGTTATCGTGTATTCATAAATGCAAGAAACACGTTCTTCCTTTCTACTATGAGGTATTCTTTCCGGTGGTTACGATGTTATTTTCTTGAAATACAAGTATAAAAACTAGCAACTTTCGGCTTTGGAAAATGAGTTTATCGAAACCTTGTATTCCATTACAGATATTATAAGGTACCTTTTTTCGTGAGGTCCTTCATGTTGATTTCTTTATTTTATATGGATGCCGTGAAAGATTTATCGTGCCATTTTCACTAATTCTTAAACAACGTTTTATGACTAAGGTACTGCGACTGTAAAGGACGCGTGCGGCTTACGCAATGGTTTATTACTGCAAGACTCTGCCGTAATATTATGATTGATATCGTGAGGTATATCGCGTAAAGGATGATGATTCTTGTCTGCCCATGACTCAATAAAAGCACACATCGTGCTGTGAGTCCTGAGCACTCGATTTTCATGTTTTATATCTCTATATATCAAGGATTTTAGCAGTTTTGAACCAGCTTATTATTTTGACTTCAACTATTTAAAAACAGAAGGATGTCTTAGTATCCAGTAATTCGTTTAAACTCGTTTGTCATGTTCTCATTGTTGATGATTTGTTCTGTTATTTTTTTTACGAAGCGGAGCTCAAAGTTACTATGTCTCGAGGAGAGTGCGTTCCTAGTCTCACTTGATTTTTTTGATTTATTTACTCCTAAGTTATGCCCTCTCTGTCATGCTGCTCCTACGGAAACTAAGTAATGAATAGCAATCGGATTGTGGTGGTTTTAAATGGAAAGGAAATACAGTTGGGATGTCTCATAAGCATTTATCTCAACGAATCTTAGGCTAGACACTAACGTATGTGCGTCTTTGATATGTTCCCGTTGAAGTATATATTGTAAGTTTGTATCACGGACTATATAGTTTTATAATTTTTTCAAGGAATAGTTGGCACCGTTTGTGGAGCCATAAATGTTATTTAAGTAACGTCGCCAAAACACTTGTTGACGCGTGCAGTAACAGTGCCGGGTAACTACCGTATTCACTCTTAAGACTTCTCTCTTGCCTGGTCACATTTATGCAGAATCTTCAGAAACCGTATGCATGCCTACAAATTTGATTTAAGAAGCATGTGCTTGTCTTTTTTCACATTGGTTCTATTTTTTAATCAAAATTTATCACCTCATGTTTCATATATATTTCAGTAATGCTGAATGAGTGAATGTTTATGCCAAAAGATTCATTTCTGTTGTGATCTGTTCGGATGGAAGGCCTCGAGACTCGTTTAAACTAATTTTTCGAGCCCTTTTTATTGTCATATTTGACGGAATTGCCGAACGCAGCCGGGCATTAAATGTTCTCGATTATATTGCGGCCTGAGTGGAAACCTTTTAAAGTACAAATATCTGTAGGATAAGCCTCTGTTAGGGGCTTTGTTCTTATGCTACTCAACGTTAGCATCGGTCATTGCATGGTGTTGGATGCATTTGTTTATATTATTGTTTCAACAAAAAGGATGCTCTACTTGTGATCATACGCTGATTCTAAAGTCTCTGATTCATTTACCTTCGACATGGATGACGAATGTCTTCAGTATATTATATTTTGAATTTAAGTCACAACTTGGCAGAACAAGCAATCTTCGAGTACCAAAGGGAGCGGTTTCGTAGTGCTGATGGAATCGTGCTCAGTGGTAATGATAAAAATACCTGCTAACTATTCGTGTTTGAATCAAGAAACTTTTATTGTACTACTATTACATGAAAAAAAATCTAGATTAGAAGGATGTATAAACGACAGACTCGAGTTGGTTGAACATAAAGAATTTACACAACCAGAGGGTTAAAATAGTGATTGGAAACGATGCTGCGGAGTCGGCCTTTATGTGCAGATGTAATAATGACTTGAAATCAATTGATTTGATTTTACGTAGGCGTTGCAGAAAATATGCATGCTGTCGGTTTTACCAAATGAATTCATTATAGCGGTTAGCTTCTTAAAGGTTATTATGTCGAAAAAATTTTTACTCGAGAAATTTTCAGCCACAGTTGTTGGAGAACATTTTTAATTGCTCAGCTGTCATCTTCGTGGTTCCACATAAGTTTATGCTTTTCAGCGTTTAATCTAGTAACGATATTCCAAAATAATGGTAAATGGAACGACAACTTTGCTTACAGCTGACTTGGGGCTGTGACGCGTTCATAAACCTACAGTTATCATAAACCTCTGCGATCATTTTTTCCTTTAAACTTTTTTTTTAATTCAAATATTCATCCAGCTAAGATGTTTTTATTTAGCCCGAACTGTTATCCAACATAAGCTAGGAAAATACTCGCAATTGAAACTATTGAGCAAAATCTATTGTAGGTTTAGTGAACGCTCTTCTTCCTCGTCTTGCAATCGCCGCGTTCCTTTCTCGAAGTTTCTACCTCGCGGCTCGTTGCACCGTCTCTCTTGCTTGGGGGAGCATCACGTCGACAAGCTAACGCTCCGTAAAAATTGCCGCTGCTCGACACGCTAGCTTTGCTCGCTTTTGTTTCAAGTTTTGCTCGCTTTGAGACGAGAGAGAGACAGTGACAGACCCATTAACTCATGCCGCTTACCTCAACACTCATTGTTCGACAGTGCTAGAGTCAGCTTGTTGACGCTGCTTCTGAGAAAATACGTAGTTAAAGTCTGACCTGGAATTTTCATTGAAAGAAAGTAATTGGAGTTCATTTTAGAAATATTTAAATCATGCAAAGCTGCTGAATTTAACAAATTTTTGTTGTGTCCGTGCATTTGTTTACTACTCAGATTCCATCAAAAAATTTATACCGACATTCACAAGGTGACTGGTTGCTGGCCACTAAACCAACTAACTGGTTGTGCGCTGATACTTATAAGAAATTTCGTTAAAACTACGTAAAATCGATTTTTTTTACGTTACCATATAGTTTCAGACATTCTAGATATGCTTACCATAGTTTCACTGATCAGTGTTTTCCTAACGATTTCGAGCGTCGATTACGCGGAAGGTTTCGCTGATGGAGCCCCTGTAGAAGCATGTATCTTCAAAGGTCCTAATCACCCTCCTACTAAATCTCAACCTCCGGACACCTTACCACACGACTTCGTGGCGGAGGCTGGGTCTTACAAGAGCGGAGACGAGATTCAAGGTGAGAAGTAAATGCAGTTGTATACGATGAATGCAAACTAATATTTATTTCCAGTAAATGTATATGATAGCCTATAGGATTCAGTGTACGCAAGCTGTGATCCTATATATATGTAGCATGAAGTGTTATGATGAATATAAAATACAGATGACTTATGATTAGGTTCGATTTATTAGAATTAGACTATTTCAAATAACGTGCGTTTTAGATTCAGTACAATGAACTGAATCTGAATTCAGTTCAGTTTTTGGTACATCGCCTTACTATCACTCCTCATACTTAGTAAGGTAACTACACTGAAACTGAATTCCTGAACTTCAATGAACAATTTTAATGTCCAATCGGTAGTGCTGGAGTTATTTGACCAACTTTCACCTTCAAAATATTCAGTATTAGTCATACTAAGAGCTGTTCTTATTGGAATGCATTCTAGTATTACTTGATAAATTAATTTAAAAAATAATTAAGGATTGTTTCAATGATATGTAAGAAATATTAATAAATTACGAAAATCCCGTAGACCGATTTGAAATTCCTTCATTGAAACCTTTACAAGCTGAGTTCCAGGTTATTGTTTCATCTCGATCAAAGGCCCTGGCGGCACCACTTATTTTTAATTAGTAGTCGCCCTCCAATATTTCACATATTAAATTCAATGCAAATTTTTTCTACAGTAAATCAATAGCGTTCAGGCTCTTTCGACTTATTAAACATAAATAAATGATAATCTGGGGGTGTATATATCGTTTTTAACTGTGGGCTCCCGAGTTGAGCGCTGTGGCATTGCAGTTGCGACTTGAAACCGTGATTGGACACACTCGAGAACCATTCTGTACTTGAATATCAAATCCAACACTGGTCTCGCATCATGCAAGACAATCACAAATAGGTACAACTTTGGCACTTTATTTCTCAAAAAAATTCATATTATGACGATTTATTTTGTCATTCAATTTTTGATTTTGCGTTGTTTTCATTTCAGCATTTTAATCTCGTAACGTTGACCCAGTTCTGCAACCTACATGGTTGAGTAGCCGAACGCCTAGTCACTGTCTGTCCGAGTTTCCAGTTCAATGGTATTCTGTACTAGATTTTGTGACCTCGGAAAATGTTGCGTATTTGTTGAATATATTTGCAACCGATGCCGTTTAATACAACATTATACAATATTCTATTGAGTAACATAGGAAAATGAGGTAAATAACCAATGAGCTGATAATAGTAATTACATTATTATTTAAACCTCTTAAAGGCAAGTTGGTGACTTTTATCATTCCATTCATTTAACAATCATCATAATTATCGACGAGACTATGTGGGTCAACACTATGCATTGCCAGGCACCTAATGCACTCCGATTACATTTAATTAAACTTTGAATTCCTCAGTTTAAAGAAAGGGTTAATAAAGAGTACAAAATCACTAGGTGTCAGGCAGGTCATCATGAAAACATTTCCTTCCACTTTTGTAGGCTTTATGCTGCATTACATTACTGATTGTCTTACTCGTCACTGCTTTACAAATGTAACTGAATACACTGGAGTGAATACACTAAAGCTGTGAATACACTAAATTACACTACTAGAATACACTACAAATGTGAATAGGCCTACACTAAAACTGGAGTTGGAAATAGGTTTTATTTATAAATCTAGTTATTTTTATAGAATGTTTGGTCAAGTGAAAATACAACTTTTTGTAAACAGAGTCCGATGAGGAAATCTTTTGCCTACACTTACATAAATTAATAGGAAATTGTTCAAATAGCGGTACATTTTTTGTTCTCGTGGTCAAACAGACCCTACTGGACAGGGCAGAAGTACGAATCGGAGCCGCGTGCAGTAAATGTATCCCCGTATAGAAAATATGACCCATTCATTTTTCTAAGTGCACGCACTGGTCTTTAAAATCACTGGTCTTCTGGTGCCACAACATTAAGCCCATTTATGCGTCTATTATGCGTCCATTATGCGTCCATTATGCGTCCATTATGCGTAACTTCTTGGCCAATTTCCCAACATGAAGGTCATCAATCCACAGTATTTTAACCGGAGTGCTGATATTTTAATCATTGAATCGTTCATTTTTTATTTACAGGGAATTTTTAACTGACAATATTTTAGTTAAAATCATACACAACACGACATTAAATTATTACTTTCTTCCTGATAACCCCTAAGGTTACTTCGCGTCGTTTCTCATCCAAGTGTTCGTGTTTTATTCGGGTTAAGTTGGTGGGCTACTCGACTTGACCACAAACATGTTCCACTCGTGATTCTGTAGCCATTTCTGGCGCATTTTCTCATTTATGGAAAAATGCGCTATTGTGATCGCCATGTCCGTCCGTCCGTCCGTCTGTCCGTCCGTGACTTCACGTTTTCGTCGACGAGAAAATGCGCTCTCTGTCACTCACTGCAGTGAGTACTGAGTTATATGTTTTTCTTCTGCAAGCGCAATTTAGGCCTGTCGAACGATGGCATGGCTTTTAGGCTCACTCAATCTAGTCTGATCACCCGTGGCCTCCGTCGAACGACGGTCTTGTTGTCTGGCTCAATCTGGCTATCATATAATTATAATCTATAGTTATATTTTATTTGTTAATTATGATTAAATTACATTAATGCATTATATAATATTATTTTGTATCATAATTATATATTATTATATAAAATATATTATTTTAAAATTATACTTTATAATTATCATTGAGCAGTGGCTCTAGGCATCGTTTGGGAAGTAACCCCTTTAGGTTACCTTGTCGCTTGAGAGAATTTTGGATAAATAAAATATTTTTTCACGTACAGTGACTGTTCGTGTTTACATTGGCGCGTTTATGTAGAGTGACTGTTTGTGTTTACATTGACGCCGTTTATGTAGAGAGACTATTTGTGTTTACATTGGCGCGTTTATGTTGCGTTTATGTAGAGTGACTGTTTGTGTTTACATTGGCGCGTTTATGTAGAGTGACTGTTTGTGTTTTCATTGACGCGTTTATGTAGACTGACTACCTTATGAAAATTTCCATTATGGATCTTTTTATGCTTAGAACACAATCATTGAGTTGCTGCACAATCATTTTTTTTTGCTATTTTTACATCATGCTCATAAATTTTAAATTATCGAGTAAATAATATTAGGTGCTTAGTTTCACTCTAAAATACAAATATGGTGCATAAAGAATCAGAAATCTTGCATAGGCTCAAATATGAAATGCTAAATCGTATTTTTGTATTTACATTAGTCTTTCCATGCTTCGAGGAAAATGAAATATTTGTGTTCATTTAGAATTTTAGATGTTATAAGGAATCGAACTTATTTTCAAACTTCATTAATCCACCATAAGAAGTAAGTTTTGTCGCATATTACTTCAAAATAAATTAAGAACATAAAAGACGAGTAGAATCAAGCAACAGTTCCCTATATATATCTATAAGGTTCGTGTGCAAAATGGAAATTGAAAAGCTGTAATTACTTGAGTCGTTGTACTTAATTAAGCGTTATTCGTACATCACCATATTATTATTATTATTATTGTTAAAAGAGTAACTTTCAGCACAATTGTGAAGGCTTGGCGGCACTTAACTGCCAACCATCGTGTTATGAGTTACATTGAACTTTTCAGAGTAATTATTTCACAATATGCATATATTATTTCATTTGTCTTCCTACTTTTACTCTGAGTTTTATATCGTGTTATGAGTTACATTGAACTTTTCAGAGTAATTATTTCACAATATGCATATATTATTTCATTTGTCTTCCTACTTTTACTTTGAGTTTTATTAGTAACTTTTCAAAAATATCTCATGTCGTCTTGTGCGTTATGTTTTGCATGTCTAAGGATTTCTGTTGATGACTGAAAAAATATTAATTTCATTAGTATTAATAACTGCCATTTGTTAGCCCTTGGCAACAAAGCCTGTTGGTGTAAAATACATATTAGATGGCCTTCAGCGATCGCTTAGAAAGTTTCCCCAGTCCTTGACGACTTCGAAGAAACCACGTCATTTGTTTAGAGAGATCTCGGCCAACACTGATTACAAGAACCTCATTGGAAGATTTCGGTAAAAATTCTGGAGATTATTTCCTCTGAAAATATTTTACGATGAAATGTAGGGTTGCAACGCAACCTGTTTAACCGCGAGCTAGAGGATGACGTCACATAGCCGAGTATATAAACGGCAACTTTCCTGCACTTCGGATCATTGCGTTGTACTCGGGAGTGGTCGTTGTGAGTCTATCATCTTGCTCCGTTGTTCGTGCTGCTCACAAAACTGTTATTGTTCATATTTTGCTCACCATTAACTCATTCCCTTGAGGATTTGGTGTCGAAAATATAGTCAATATGAAGGCGTGCGGTGTCGTTGCGGTACTCGTAAGCTTTTTGCTTCTTAACTTTGTGTCCATGACGGAGAGTTTCCCGAACGGTGCCCCCGTCGAGGCTTGCATCTACCAGACAGTGCCCAACCACACGGGCACTAAACCCAGCCCCCCCTCAACTTTTAGTCATGAATTTGTAGCCACGCAAGGAAACTGGGTTCCTGGAGCAAATATTCATGGTAATGGCTCTTTTTTTTGCAGTTTTCATTACAAATTCAAGAAAGTTAAGCAATTACTTTAGTCGTAGCAATGTGTTTGGTAGCGATGATTCCAAGTGGTGTCCCCAATTTATTTTATAGAAATTATCTATTGTTAAGAATGTTATATCATTAGCTACGTCATCGTAAAATATCTTATTTCCAAATTTAAAACAACATCTATCGCTTTCATTTAAATCGTACTTGATTTTATCACAACCTGCAGAACATGAAACAAAACTTATGGGAAAGACTTCATTTTCCACAAAAAACTTTTGTGCGTTAAAAAATTTTGATTATTTTTTACTGCTAGCGCAGCAGTCTTCGGAGAAGAAACCGTAACGCTTCACTTTCACTAATGATCTGCAGATGAGAGTTAAATAGTTAAACATGAGCGAAAATCAGTCATGTAAAATTAGGAGATACTCAAATGTCCTGTATGTTATTATTAGATGAAAAACGTCACTTGAATTGTTTATAATGTGAATAAACAATGCACGCTTTCACAAAAGTTGTGACCCAGATTCATTGCATGCAGAGTGCGCAGAGCAACTCAAGCCGTTACAAAGAACTACAAGCATAAGGCAAACGCGATTAAATTATTAAATTCAAGTGACGATTAAATGTTCGCAAATTATAATTATATTAATTAAAATAAGTCTCTCTGTTGATGATGCAGAATCGGCAAAGAAAATGCGCAAAAATCAATCCGAATAGAACGCTGCCCAGTCATTATGCAACTGATGATTAAACTAATCCTTTAACTTTGAGGCGACACAACTTATGAACCAATTTAACAGTGTAAGTTGAACTATATTAATGGGAAGTTACAGCACTCACGAATACTTTCATGTTCTTGTCTGAAATGTTATTTCTACTTGGCAATTAACGATAACCTTAGCTGGTTCGCATGAATATTTTTATGAAGTATGCAAAATATATGTGCAAGAATCGGTGAAAGGCCACACCAGGCCAAATCTTCAGCGCCGACATCACTATATGATATGAACACTTAACAATGTTGTACTGTAGCACTTGCACCACTCTCATTACTCCTGTATCCAAATGTTTCCTATCAGTTATTGTAAACCACTCTGGCGCTTTGTTAAATTCGAGACGTTCTAGCGTTAACGTATTGCTAAATTACTGTGAAATTTATTGCAAATTTCACGAATTTTGTGAAACCTATAGACATACCTACATTGCTTTGGAATTTCCTTTCGAACTATTCACTTGGTCAATAAATGGTTTCGCGATATCGGTCCTTACTATCAGAATGGTATTGAAAGCGATTAATGCATTGGTAGATATAGGGTTAAACTCTTAGTCTACTGAAGGCAACTCTTATAAAGAGGCTAGAAGAAAATAATATAGATATACCTGTATAATACCGTAATCGCCATCATATCCTTACCAAGCTTGCGTTTAAATGCTGCAGCATGCTGACTGGGGCAATGCTGAGGTCGGCGGAACGTTACACTGGGTGGGCAAGTTTTTGTTTCAAAAGATGAAAGGAGAGCGAGAGAGGATAGGATGACACCGATGGATCATTGACTTGAAAATAAAAAAATTTTAAGGAGCAAGCGACTCCCGTGCTAAAATTTAATTTGAGATTACAACAGTAATACTGTAAACGACAGAGATTCTAAACACATTGACACAAATAATTCCAGTAGTAACCCTTTATACTTTGGCCCTTGTCGATTTGTTGCACGATTGATGTACATCTGATTTATATATGCTGTAACCCCTTCGTTTTTTGGGTTGGATGAGACGGAATTCGGAAGTCGCTTTGCGTCTTAGTAAAACGACGCGAAAGCAGTTTATGAATATTCATGCGGTCATATCCTGTCCTATGTACATCACATTAACTTTCTCAATCAATATTATTTTTAATGCTCACCGATCAATCAGGGACGGAGTTCTTGAGACACTTTTAAGTGCATGCCCGGATTTTTATTTGCATGGCTGATATTTCAGAACCATAATTCCTACATACATAGAAGCGAGTCGTTACTGTTAGAATGTCAGCATCATAGTGGGCTGTTCAGAAATGAAACTAACGATGCAATGGTACCCCGAAAGTCGACATTATTAAGTAGCATGAAAAGCGTTGACTACTTCATGTTCTTTCTTCTAAATTGCTGTAAAGTGAAGTAAATTGCGTAAAATAAAAATGAGCTCAACATATTATAAAGAATACTCACTTCAACTAGCGACTGGAAACATACAGTGGCGTAGTTAACAAAAATAATGTCGGCCATATCCTTTACTATCAGAGGATGAGTCAAGCAGAACGTCGTTCCTTTATAAATTTGTCGATGTTCGTATCGAATTCCGAATTTCCATAGACTTCTGAGTCATGATTTTGCCAGGATTTTACGTCGATTTCCGATTATATGGAGTTCCGATCTGGTCGACTTCCGGGGTTCCACAGTACTTATTCAGTCATTAGTTGTACTGATAGGACATTATATTAACTGAGGTTGTGGTCATATGAAAAGACGAAGGCTTTGACGGGAAATCAATAGACCTTGAACAATTAGTTTTTCGCCTCTCTATACATCGTATGATTACATCACTCAATTTAAAAGTAGCCTTTTATAAACCTTAGGCTAGATTCAGTCTCCTTTGACTCTTGGTTCAGAACTTCATCGAAGGACGGATTTGTCGTGCCGTATAGTGAAAAAAGAAACATATATTTGCTCGATAGTTGATCCTGCTGCACCACTTTCACCAGGATCTCTTCTAAAACCACAATCCTACGCGGAAACTTTGCGTTAAAGCGAATGGATCTGCCAGACATTCGCCGAAAGATGCGGGTGACCATTGTATATATGTTCACAAAAGATGTATCGTAAATGGAAAACGTTACTGCTGTTTTTTTTTCGACTTCGCCTTCTATACAGCAGCGTTCATCGACAATATAAAAGAATAACACGGCAGTTCACGGCCACCAAAGACGGGATCAATGGCATCTGCGACGATAATGCCTCGCTCGACGGCAAAAATTGTATCGAAATGCAAGTGACCCGACAAGATCGCGGCCATCACCGATTGAGACGATCGAGAGGTGAATGTCCGACTCGTTCTTATAACGTTTTCTTGCAAGAGCGACGTACCATTTGGTCTCGAATGACCCATCATCAGCGATCGAGATGATCGAGAGGTGAATGTCCGACTCGTTCTTATAACGTTTTCTTGCAAGAGCGACGTACCATTTGGTCTCGAATGACCCATATGTTATGGCTGGTTGAAATATTGCGGATGAGTGACGAGAAATTCTTGAAGCCTTTTAGAGGTTCTTTTGCTCTTTGTGTCGGGTTATGAATTTTTTATGAATTAAAAAATTATAATGATTGATTTAATGTTTTATTTTAAAGTCATTCATTTTTCCAAGATGCACAGTTTTTTATTAATAACATGAAGATGTACCAGATCTTATTTCAAGCTAGGTAGCTATGTTTTATGCACACATGGTAGTGAATGATTAGGTTAATATTAATGATTCAATTCATGAACTGTCAGTTGCTTGCAGCAAAATATATCCCAGAATTGCCAAAAAATGCACAAATGAATTCTATTATGAAATTTCACAAGTTTTTGAATTTATGATTTCCCCTCAAATGCTGTCTTTTAATAAGATTGCCTTTGAACGTGAAGCGTCTTGAATTTCGCTGTAAAACTTTAGGTTTTACTTAGTTCCCGTCAATTTTTGACGCAATCTTCTATTTATGTTTTTGTATTAATATTATTATTATCATTATTATTACTATTATTTTTAATTAATACTGTAAATTTTCCTATTTTGTCATTATTATTAGGTTCCCGTCAGTTATTGCAACAACTAAAGCTGTCAATAGGAAAGAATTTCACAAAAATAAAAACGATAGAATATTGCAACACAACAAAAATGGTTAATTTACATACAAAAGTTCGATAAATTTTCAAGTGCCAGCACGTGACCGTATGTAGAAAAAAATTATCGTGATATTTTTCATTAATAAGCCATTCTTGAAAAAAAAATTATAATCCCCGGCAAAGTTCTTCGCCGACTAAGCCATCAAAGAACAGATTATTTGGGTTTAAATTAATGCTGCAGGAGGTATACAAGATTATTTATAATTTTATTTAATCGTTACTTCATTTTCGAATTTTACGTGATGCTGTCAAGTATCATCGCAATCGCTCGCACGCATTTATCAATTTTGGGACAGCAAAATATCGAAATCATCGATATAAAAATGTGATGAGGTTTGAGAATCATTTTCATTGGTAAACATCTTTAATTAGGAAATGGCACACCCCACATCAAACAATAAAATTAATGTTGTGCATATTATTGAGCGTTTGCGGCATTTTTATCAAATTTCCGATAGTGGAACCAAAAAATGTTTGTAGGCCGGCATTACAAAACTCTATACAGCGGTCACAACGCTAGAACGTGGCTCATGACAAACTTGATCTCTTGAGCGTGAATTGCTTCTGTTTTTTCATCCTGTACGTAAGGGGAATCTAAATTTATTATATTCTGCACCGCCATCGCTTTCCTCGCTATTATTAATAAAGCTGTATGTTACCTGAGCATACATCAAACAAATCATGGAAAACGTTCGTAGTAACATTGTTACATTATATTATTACGTTTATTATTGTATTATTGTAACATTGTATTATGCGTGAAGCTGCTTGACCGCAAGAGTCCAGCAGCAACAGCAGTTGTTAATGCTTTGGTCTGTTTACTTTCACCAGACAAAAGGTCTCGCAAGCCTCGATCACGCCTCTTGAGCTCCGCCCTTCATATTAATTGCTGTGTCATGCTTGCTAACGCTGCTGTCTTGTGTTGCTTAAAACTGTTGCACCGGGACTAATGTTTTGAAAACGTTTTTTTAGAATCAAAAGAAATTTTACTCTCGAAATGAATTAATTATTCAAAATAAATGGATTCCTCACAATTCCAGATAAATAAATACATCTCAGTCAAAAATTCCTCAATAATTTCAAAATTAACTAGCGTTCTAAACATAAAAATACAGAAAACTTATGATATGAGAAAGTAGACAATATAAGTTCAGTTTTCGTAATAAATTTCAATTAAGTATGCTCTCAATTTGCACGAACGTTCATTTTTATAGTCGCTTCTTTTCTAGAGTTTGTCATTAAAATGCAGTTTTGGGTTCAATTGAGTTAAAAAGGCTTTGATTCCATTTAATTTAATGAAAGGATTTTATTTCCTTGCATTATACAAAAAATTTGTAACTGCTGAAATTTTCACTCCTACGTATGTGACTTGAACAACAGTGATATAAATAGTGTTGTATCTTGAACTTGAGAACCTCTATAATATTCGTAGGAAAATAGCTCCAGATAAATTCATTCGTAAGCCACCACAACGCGTGCAGTCAATGCCGTACTATAGTCGCATCAATATTTATTTTTTTGAGTCGCAAAAAGCTCAAAAATACAATCCATATTATTATTATTATTATTGTTAAAAGAGTAACTTTCAGCATAATTGTGAAGGCTTGGCGGCTCTTAACTGCCAACTATCGTGTTATGAGTTACATTGAACTTTTCAGAGTAATTATTTCACAATATGCATATATTATTTCATTTGTCTTCCTACTTTTACTTACAACGCGTGCAGTCAATGCCGTACTATAGTCGCATCAATATTTATTTTTTTGAGTCGCAAAAAGCTCAAAAATACAATCCATATTATTATTATTTTTCTTCTAAAATCATTGTCGCATGTAAGAATTGTTTGGCAGCTCATCCGATTAACAAGTTACATGGAAATTATTCATTTTAATGTGACTCTGAAAATCTACGGCCTGATTCTTATTATGCAAAAAAATCAGTCACCGACGCATTCAATGTCATTTGGTGGTCACGAGCAACAAATACGCTACAAAATAAATATTTTTCCATGAATCGGCGTTTGAAAAAGATTTTAATGTATTTTTTGCGTAAAATATTTTACTCGTTGACCGTAGCATTTACCGAGATTAGAAACTCATGGACTCGATTTTTTCATGCTGAGTCATTCCGTGGGTAAGACCGCGTAAGAATTTTCGAAAGCGCAATCATGCACTCATTTAGTCTGCAGTTAGAGCGCCATCATGCACTCTTTTAGTCAGCAGTTAGAGCACTATCATGCACTCTTTTAGTCTGCAGTTAGAAGCGCAATCATGCACTCTTTTAGTCAGCAGTTAGAGCACTACCATGCACTCATTTAGTCTGCAGTTAAAGCGCCATCATGCACTCATTTAGTCTGCAGTTAGAGCGCCATCGTGCACTCTTTTAGTCTGCAGTTAGAGCGCCATCGTGCACTCTTTTAGTCAGCAGTTAGAGCACTATCATGCACTCTTTTAGTCTGCAGTTAGAAGCGCAATCATGCACTCTTTTAGTCAGCAGTTAGAGCACTACCATGCACTCATTTAGTCTGCAGTTAAAGCGCCATCATGCACTCATTTAGTCTGCAGTTAGAGCGCCATCGTGCACTCTTTTAGTCTGCAGTTAGAGCGCCATCGTGCACTCTTTTAGTCAGCAGTTAGAGCACTATCATGCACTCTTTTAGTCCTGTCTCTTATACACATCTAGATGTGTATAAGAGACAGTCTAAGGATTTCTGTTGTTGACTGAAAGAATATTAATTTCATTAGTATTAATAACTGCCATTTGTTAGCCCTTGGCNTCGAGGTAGTATAGACAATTGGTAAATCGTATGGAAACATATAAAAATTGACTTAATCGTGCGCATGACGGCAAAGTTTTGTTTTATAACATTTTCCAATCTACTAATTAGTACGAATTTTGCTAGGAAACATCTTGGTGTAGGAGCTTCCCAATTAAATTTTACGATGATATAATTGAGCGAGGTCCGTAAACAAGCATTTGATTGCTGATTTAAAATAATTATCTAATTTTCCTACCTTGCGGCGAAGAAGTTTCCGTTCGATAACGCTATATTGTCAAAGCTTCAGGCTGTCATCAGCATTTAAATGTAATATTTTCTTGGATCCAGTTCACGTTAGTGGCCCTTATTATATAATTATATATTAATATACCCGAATATTACTATTATTTTTCTTATCAGCATTTAAATGTAATATTTTTCTTGGTTCCAGTGCGCGTTAGTAGCCTTATTATATAATTATATATTATTATACCCTAAGAATATTATTATTTTTCTTATCAGCATTTAAATGTAGTATTTTTTCTCGGTTCCAGTGCACGTTAGTGGTCCTAAGATCAAGGGTTTCTTCATCCAAGCCATTGACGACGACTACAAACCCATCGGATCGTTCATTAAGAACGTTTATTCGGGTTAAGTTGGTGGGCTACTCGACTTGACTCCAAACATGTTCAACTCGTGATTCTCTAGCCATTTTATTCTACTGCAAGTACAATGTAAAATATCTGTTTTTAAAACTTTCACAATTCCTCCTGTTTGAAAATAGTTTGCATTTAACTCATTTGATACCTGAAATACTTCAGTGAAAATATTGATTTCAAATTTCACTACGTAAATAGTGAAATACCTAAATTGTTACTAAGGAATTTCTAGGCTCACTCAATCTAGTCTGATCACCCGTGGCCTCCGTCTTGTTGTCTGGCTCAATCAGGCTATTATGTAATCATAATCTATATTTATATTTTATTTGTTAATTATGATTAAATTACATTAATGCATTATATAATATTATATTGTATTATAATTATATATCATTACATAAATTATATGATTTTAGAATTATACTTTATAATTATCATTGAGCAGTGGCTCTAGGCATCGTTTGGGAAGTAACCCCTTTAAAGAAATTACCTTGTCGCTTAAGAGAATTTTGAATAAATAAAATATTTTTTCATGTAGAGTGACTGTTTGGGTTTAACATTGGCGCGTTTATGTAGAGTGACTGTTCGTGTTTTCATTGACGCGTTTATGTAGAGTGACTGTTTGGGTTTAACAGTGGCACGTTTATGTACAGTGCGTGACTGTGTTTACATTGGCGCGCTTATATAGGGTGAATGAATAGTTGGAGATTACTATTATTTCATAAAATCAAAATATTATAGTTGGTGCTATTCCAGCTCGGAATGATGCTATCTAGTGAAACGTTTTCTTATGATCTGAAGTTCTGAACAAATATCAAAGCTAAGTAGTAAGCAGCCTACCTACTTCTGAGTCTTGCCTCTAGAGTCTAGATAGCCCTAGCGGCTAGCCGCTAGCACCATGCCACCATCCATGTTCGTCCTTGCGGTTCTACGTAGACGTGAAATTTTGCAGGTAAGTTGCCTGTATAACAAGTCAAAAAAATTCTGGAATTTGTGTTCACTGATGCCTGGAATAAGCTTAAACAGAAGCTTGAATGTTTTTTGTACTATGTGTTATCAGTTTTATTGCTAAATTATTCTGGCCGTTATCACAGATTTTGTACCAGGAACTGAATAGGATCATAAAGTAACAGGTGAGATGTAAAATCTCTTGAAGTGTTTATTTCAGCATCTCTTTTCAACCGTAACCAAAACTAGAGCCCAATTAGCCGCAGCTGTTAGCCTGTTACTGAAGTAGCAACTGGTTCTTAGTCTTAGGACTAACGTCATTAACATTCGACAAATACTAGGTACAGTTGTTTCGCCGCTAGTAAAAAAAATATAACATGGTCACTGTGTCCAGTCAGAACTTAAGTTTCGCCCATAAAATAGATCGTTTCCATCTTCCATGTAAAGACGTCGACTTTAATGCCTTGTCGCTGTCGGTGCAATCGGCATTGACGGTAATTAAGCCCCTTTCACACAGGGCAGTAGCCAGTAGATACTGCGCGCGTCAAAAATGCCGCGGCAGTAGTTACCGCGCAATCTTTCACACGAGGCGCTTTTTACTGCTGGGATCTATCAGTCTCAGTCTTGCAGTGTTTTATGCTTCATCAGTCCATCTCTATGTTTATGTAACAATATTTCTATATGGAAATCTATCTCTACGTGAGAATAATGTAAATACATCTCTATGGAAATACCTATATATTTTATGTAAAATATATCTTATATGAAATATATCTCTATCACTTCAAGGATATATATATTTATCAATGTGTATCTTTATGTTTATGTAACATTATTTATGTACCGATATTTATGTAATAATATTATGCTATAATCTATGTCATGCAGTGCTGTTTATTATGAACCTAAAATACGGCACCACTGTCTGCTAGGATGTGGCATGACTGGCATCAAAAACCGCCCAGTGTGAAAGATTACATGGAATACCATTGCAAGCTAAACTGTCGCGGCAAATCTACCGCCGCAGTTTTAGCGCGACACGCGCTGGCGTCAGGCGTCAAGTTCTACGCCGCAGTAAAAGCAGTCGTGTGTGAACAGCAGTGCACATTTCGTATGTCCGCTAAGGTTCGGCTGTAAATACTGTCGGACGCTGGCAGTATTTACTGCCCTGTGTGAAAGGGGTTTTAAGTGTACGACCCCGTGGACATTCGTAAGCGTTCTATTCCTCGTAGGCTCGTACGGGCATTTTTCTGCCGGATGCATTCCAATCATCAATGTCAGGTTTTCTGAAAAGATCGCGAATAATTATTTCGTCGATTATTGTAGCTGATTTTCTGTAACTGGACCGTAAGTATCAAGAGCGACGTACCATTTGGTCTCGAATGACCCACGCATGTTATGGTTGGTTAAAATATTGCAGATCAGTGACGAGAAATTGTTGTAGCCTTTTAGAGTTTTTTTTTTGCTCTTTGTGTCGGGTATATGTCAGTTCGTTTCGAAAAAATTATTATGATTGATTTAATGTTTAATTTTGTAGCCATCCATTTTTCCCAGATGCACAATTTTTTATTAATAACTTGAAGACAGTACCACATCATATTGGAAGGTAGCTCGGTTTTACGCACTCCTGGTACTGACTGATTAGGTTAATGTTTAATATAATGATTCAATTCGTGAACTGTCTGTTGTTTGGAGCAAAATATATATCAGAATTGCTAAAATACACAAATGAATTTCATTATGAAATTTAAATAGTTTTTGAATTTATGATTTCCCCTTGAATGCTGTCTTTTAATAAGATTGTTTTTGAACGTGAAGAGCCTTGAATTCGCTGTGAAACTTTAGGCCTTAGTTCTCGTCAATTATTGACGCAATTTTTTATTGATATTTTTGTATTATATTTATTATTTTATTATTGTCAATTATTATTTTATTATTATCATTATGATTTTATTATTATCATTAATATTACTATTATTTTTAATCAATATTACAAATTTTATTTTTTCATTGTTATTAGGTTCCCGTCAGTTATTGCAATAACCAAAGCTGTCTAGGAAAGAGAAGAAGGTCACAAAAAAATTCTTTGAAATCTGGCAACATGACAAAAAATTGTTAATTTATATAAAAAATTTCGCTAAATTTTCAAGTGTCAGCGCATGACCGTATGTAGAAAAAAATTATCGTAATATTTTTCCATTAATTAATAAGCTATTCTTTAAAAAAAATTATATCCCTGGCAAAAGTATTTCGCAGACTAAGCCAACAAAGAACAGTTTATTTGAGCTAAAATTAACGCTGCAGCAGGTATAGATGATTATTTATAATTTGGTTTCATCTTTACTACATTTTCGATCTTTACGCGATGATGTCAAATATTATTGCAATCGCTCGCACGCATTTTCCAATTAAAGGACAACGAAATATCGAAGTCATCTATATAAAAAATCTGATGAAGTTTCAAAATCGTTTTTATATGTATTCAGAAATGTCGCGCCTCACGTACGCCAAACAATGCAATTTATTTTATGCATATTATCGAGCGTTTGCGGCATTTTTATCAGATTGTCGATAACGGAACCAAAAAATTTATGTCGACCGGTATTACAAAACTCTACGCAGCGTTCACAACGCCAGAAGATTGCTCATGACAAAATTAATCTCATGAGCGTGATCGACTTGCTTCTGTTTTTAGCACATTTTCTCATTTATGGAAAAAATGCACTATTGTGCTCGCCATGTCCGTCTGTCTGTCTGTCTGTCCGTCCGTCTGTCCGTCCNTGTCATTTGGTGGTCACGAGCAACAAATACGCTTCAAAATAAATATTTTTCCATAAATCGGTGTTTGGAAAAGATTTGTATGTATGTTTTGCGTAAAATGTTTTACTCGTTGGCCGTAGCATTTACCGGGATTAGAAACTCATGGACTCGATTTTTTCATGCTGAGTCATTCCGTGGGTAAGACCGCGCAAGAATGTTCGAAAGCGCAATCATGCACTCATTTAGTCTGCAGTTAGAGCGCCATCATGCACTCTTTTAGTAAGCAGTTAGAGCGCCATCATGCACTCATTTAGTAAGCAGTTAGAGCGCCATCATGCACTCATTTAGTCTGCAGTTAGAGCGCCATCATGCACTCATTTAGTCTGCAGTTAGAGCGCCATCATGCACTCATTTAGTCTGCAGTTAGAGCGCCATCATGCACTCATTTAGTCTGCAGTTAGAGCGCCATCATGCACTCTCTTAGTCTGCAGTTAGAGCGCCATCATGCATTCTTTTATTCAGCAGTTAGAGCGCCATCATGCACTCTTTTAGTCTGCAGTTAGGAGTGCCATCTTGCACTCTTTTAGTCAGCAGTTAGAGCGCCATCATGCACTCTTTTAGTCAGCATATTGTATGCAAATAGAAACGCGGTGTTGATGAAACGATCAGAATTCATCGCAAATTCCTTTTATGTTAATTTTTATCAATATTCATGCCTGGTGAAATTCAATATTCATTTTAATATTCTGGTCGATGTTTTTAGGTAGAGCACTAAATAATATTTATTCAGAGGGATTTTTAACTGATGAAATTTCGAAATATAATTAGACATCAATACAAACCTGTAATGATTAAAAAACTAGGAAATCATGGTGCATTGTCCAACTCACGTACATCGTCAATGCTCCTAATAGTTCACACTCTCAGAGGAATGAGTGGGTCGAATTTTCCAGATAGTGCGACGCATTTTCTGCTCTTATAGCTGATGCACCCTTTTTCTGAACTGAGGGTCAGAATGCCTCACACAAGAAAAAAAATATAACTCAGTACTCACTGCAGTGAGTGACAGAGAGCGCATTTTCTCTACGACGAAAACGTGGTCACGGACGGACGGACAGACAGACGGACAGACATGACAAGCAAAATATATAGCGCCTTTTTTCTATAAATGAGGAAATGCGCTAAAAATTGCATCGATGTTCGGACGAAATCTCACTCATATCTCTGAGAGCACTATACAGAAAATTGTGCGTGCTGTAAGTTACTTAATTGGAACTCCATAAACATTTGTTGGAACTATTCGATGGACCGTACGCCTGACAGCAATTTTAGATACAACAAGACTAAACAACAATCGAACTTCGACAGAGTTTATGAAGAGTTGAGACCAGAGTATCAATATAGGCAAAATTTCTTTAAAGAGATGAGAGTGAACTTTCCCAGATTCTTTAATACATTTTTACTCATTTATCGAATTTATTCATCGAGTTTGCATCGTCCGTGCTTGGTTTTCTATTCCGCCACTAAATGTAGGTTTTTTTAGATGAGTAATAATTGAAGAAAAAAAGATTTTTTCAGGACAGTCTGTTATTTGTATGCATCATTCGACAAATATAATAAAATTATTGAATATTTAGACTACGTTATTTAGATTAAATTAATTATTTCTTGTCGTTCTAAGAGTTCTGTTTTATTTTTTCTGAAGTGAATCACGGGATTAAAAAGGGTATTACGCTGTTTACAAAATTCAATTCGCGTAGCACCACGCTTATAGATCAATCACCCCTGCTTTCGAATTCGTCCTCAGAGGCTGCAGTTAATAGTGAATGCTTTCATCGAAGAAAGTCGTGACATTTTCTAACTCACTTTAAATTTCGTTGCTTATTTTTCAGTGAGCCAGAATTTAATTCACTTTGTTATAATCATTGCGGATATTTATCGTAAATGTTATTATAAATCCGCGTCCAGTTAGAATGATGATAAACTTTGTCTTCGTGAATGTTGTAGTTCTAATCGATGCTCGGGTAGAACGATTTAGAAATTCGTGTTCAGAGTACTATAGACAATTGGTGAATCGTATGGAAACATATAAAAATTGACTTAATCGTACGCATTACGGCAAAGTTTTGTTTTATAACATTTTCCAATCTACTAATTTGTACGAATTTTGCTAGGAAACATCTTGGTGTAGGAGCTTCCCAATTAAATTTTACGATGATATCATTGAGCGAGGTCCGTGAACAAGCATTTGATTGCTGATTTAAAATAATTATCTAATTTTCCTACCTTGCGGCGAAGAAGTTTCCGTGCGATAACGCTATTGTTAAAGCTTCAGGCTGTCATCAGCATTTAAATGTAATATTTTTGGTTCCAGTGCACGTTAGTGGTCCTAAGATCAAGGGTTTCTTCATCCAAGCCATTGACGACGACTACAAACCCATCGGATCGTTCATTAAGAACGACTACTCGAAGCTCCACGACGAGTGTTCAGCCATCACGCACTCTCACCCTGGACCCAAAAAAGACGTTTCCTTCATCTGGAAGGCTCCCCAACATGGACACGGAGGCAATGTTTACTTCAGGTAAAGCAGTTTTTAGCTTAAAAATAAAATTACTTCATGAATACTCATATAAGCGTCCAGATAAAGCAATATTTTCTGTTAGAAATAAAAAATATTTATGCGAGTAGTAGTAAGTATATAAGAGCTTTTTTTATGTGGTGCATTTTCGGCTGCAGAATACATGTAGCAAGAAAGTTTAATTATGCAACAGTGAATAAGAAATATAGAAGAAATTGAAGCATGACTGTAAAAATATATCACGAGTTTTAATTTTAGATGAACGACAACGACGACTTTTGTTCAAGTCAAGTTTCTTCTAAAAAAATTCTAAATCAATTTCAAAAATAGGATTGCATTTATCAAAATAAGCATGATTAATCAATTTCTCTTTGAGAACATGACTAAACTTTCATTTATTATGCTATAGATTACCAAATGGATTGTCTGGAATTATCGTAATTTTAAAATTTAAATTTAGTGCCGAAGTTTACTAAGCCGTTATTCTGAAATGAGCTCACATATTAAATCTAAATTTACATTATTTTATTTTTCAGAGCAACCATCCTGGAGGAATACGACAAGTATTGGTCGAAAGTTTTCGCCAAGGTCCTTCGACCTCCTCACTTTTAATTCATTCACCAACATTTCCTCTATGTTACGTAACAAGTTTCTATGAGAAAAGTAATAACTAATTAACACTAGATGAATTCTATACAACGGCTTGAATATATTGAAAAAAAACATTTATATTTTTAATCTGAAAAATGTGCATAATATTCTTTACGAAAATCTAAATTATAATATTGTTTATAAATGTTGTGGCAATTTGAATAATAATTAATTATTGATAATATTGACTAGTAGTATCCATGGACCGGAAAGAAAATGCAATTTCTCACTTGTTCACGTTTAGCTATCCTTGAAGGGAATGCTGTATCCTCCAATGTATTTGTTATATATTCGAAAAGATCGAAAAAACTACTTAAAACAAAGACTGGGGGAATCTCTCAACTTTTCGTCCTTTAGCTTTAGATAGAGCGAAGCATTTTACGAATTTATAGATTAAAATACACATACTTTTTTACGGCGGGAACATTCAAATTTTATGAAAATATTTAATTACATAATAAGCCCTGATGCGTAGGACATCAAACCATACATTGATATTTTAATATTATGTTCTATATTGATTTAAATTGAGCTACGACTTTTCTTCAGTATTATCTCTGTGTGATAAATAAATGATCAGAATCCGAAAAAATTATATTTTATGTAAGTCACATATTGCAAATCGGTGAGAGTGTTAGAATAAATTGTGGAAAAAATGTCCTAAAAAATTATCTGCGATAATTTATCATAGCGTTGTTTTATTACTGCACCAATTACTATTTTTTCGAATATATCTTCTTTTTTCGAATATTAATTTTTTATTGCCCAATTTCTTTGATGAAAATCGTGTGGTAAATAATATGTTGTATTTTAATCGTCCGTGACCGATGACATTTTGAGCCAAATTAGAACAAAAGCTTTCCAGCGAAGCATCCAACCGGTTCGAACACAGACTCTTTAAAGTCACGCGCAGGCAGCTCTTGCTCCATTACAATACCTCATTAAACAATGTCACATCAATTGTTTTTACATGCGTGCCGAAACATCTAAAGCTTATATATAATAGGAAACGACGATACAAAAATATCTCGCCTCTCACATCTATTTGTTTTCTTAGGTGTAGGAAATGTGTTTAGAAATATCACATACCTTATAAAGTATATAGGATGAGCAAGTGGACAATTTCTTGAATATATTCATTCGAAGTTACACTTTCCTAGCCACATTGCTGTTCGATCTCAAATGCCTAGTAGATTTTTAGTCCTTCATGTCCACAAAATATGGGTTAAAAGTTGTATAACTTTAAACGCCCAGTTAATGAAATTAGGAGCATTTCTAAGGATAAGACGCATTTACAGTATTCAAGAAATATGAAGATTAAATGTATTCCATAATTTTACATAATGCATGTGCTCGTAGTTAGGAGTTAATGCTCGCTTGATTTGCAGCTATTTTGTGCCCCGGTCCAGCAACCCGAATCAATCACTCAAAAGTAATGATAGGTTAATCATATTATACGGAATTCGTTCATAAGCTAGCACACAGCTATTGTAGGTATTCAAAAACCCAAAGCTGAAAAGACACGCTTCATAACTATTATTATATGATATGTGATATTTAAATTACGTCATTGAGACAGAACAAGTTCAGTCAATGTAGTGTGCGTATAATTTGTTACAACAGACACTATGTGACGCTCGGCCGGAGTTACAATCACAACAAAAAGATAATATTTCTGAGAATCACATGCAATAATGATTTATTTGCTTATCATCAGTATGATTCCGAGCGTGGTATGTATTTTTATGTTTTCTCGAATAGCTTGCATGAAATAAATTGTTGTGTAAACGATAAAACGGAAAATTACGTGACTTCTAGTTTTGTTCAGCTTTAGATAAGTACTAAAATTTCTTCAAAGGTTCTTGAAACGTGGTCTTACTTGTAATTCTGGGTGACGTCGCAGCAATTTCGTCCGGTGAGCAATTGAAAGTTGCCTGCAACAATAAAAATTGGTAAGTTAAATATTTTGCCTGAACATTGAACATTGCACAGAACAATAATGAATCATTGGAATGATTACCATTCCAGAAGTTATGCACGATAGTTTACAAACGCGGGAGAATCTTTGAAATTCACAAAAAACCTCAACCCCTGCTGTTTCGCATGTCTCAGGAACTTTCAAGTAAACAGAACCGAAATTATTGATTACAATGAGACAATTCAAAAGCGCATACATAGAGGAAAGCTAATGACTTTCCGACATATTATTCGTTTTTTTTTTTGGCCCGCAAAATTTGTTTGAGAAGAAATCATTTAAAAACGCAAGGTTAAACCAATTGCAACATCCTGTTGTTGCCGCAGCTCCTGCATGCAGGTTTCGACACGACAATTTTACTGCGCAACCACACATGCTTGGCTTGGCCAGCGCATCCGGTGGATCTATCGCCTTGAGACGGTAGTGCATAAAATTAAACGTTAAGGGGGATTTAAACATTTTTAACGCTTAATGAAGGTGTGAATGTGTTAATTTATTCAAATTAGTAGCATGATCGATGACAGTATTCCTGAAAAGAGTATTGCTGCTCGATCGTTGCTGCTTATTGAATTGAACAAAAAATTGTATTTTGGAAATTTTGATCTTATACGCCATGCGCTTTTGGTAAGCATAACTTATAAAGTGATCGTGTTATTTATCCTTTAATCTGAGTTGTCCCAACAATTTTTTAACTTGATACTAAAATTAAAAAGGACACATTATGATGCTCCTCACATGAATGCTGTCATCGTTAATAAATTAAAACCGACACGCACACACGTGCATACACCTCCATTATTCCATTATACCTCCGTGGATAATCAATAGAAAAATTTACTCATAGTTTGGAAGCTTAATGTTTCATCTGTTAAAGGTAACTCATGTAACCGGGCATTTAGAGTCTATTATCATTGATGAATGTCATTCCATACATCGAAAAAACAGAGCACTCAGATTCATTTGCATGTTGCCTTATATGAAGGTTATGACTCAAGTTATGAGGAAACGTTGTCTCTGCATTTAAATAGATATGGTTTGAATTATTAAGGTTCGAACACTTCTTAGCATTTCTCCGTCATTCTTAGTTACATCCGTTACACAATAACAGTATTTCCGTCTTCCGTGCTAATCATAAATGATACACGAACTTACGTCATTTTGACATTCAAACTCGTGATGGATAATGTTGAAAATATATTAATCATGGTAATAATAGAAAGTTCAAAATTATCCACACTCGAATGAGAATAGTGAGCATTCATACGAAAGTATAAGAAAGTATAAGCGTACGGGAAAGCCCGACAAATAAACAGAAAAATATCCATTGTCCAAATTTGTGTTGAATTATGAGCACATTTTGGAACAAAGAAGTAATTATCATCGTTGAAAAAAGCCCTGCAGCCAGACTTGTCCTCCACTTGACTCTCATTTACATGCTTCAGCCCCGACACAACTGATTGCTGAAGGTGTGTCTGAATGTCGCCGACACGCAAAATACTGCCAGCTATGAAGAGATTCATCAATATTATAACGTAACGGCTTCCGGTATAATCGAAGTCTTTCCATACAAATGTCTTGAAGTTTTTAGAACGTATACGTTTCACTCCTGTATGCCTAAATCAAGAATTTGAAAATGAACGGAAAAAAATTGCAGTGTGTGGGCGAATGAGCGCAGAACATGCAACTGAAGAGCGTTCGTTTTTAATATATGATTCGTTTTACATACGTGGGCTCAACTGACTATCATAAATAATTTTCCAGCCATCTAGTATGATCCAACATTTGTTGCATTACAAGTTATGAATATTTAAGGCAATGTATCCGTGACAATTTTCTCACTTGCGATTAGAGCTAAATAAGATCTGTACTGTATTTTCACTTCGATTATCTCCGCAACCAATTGTTATCAATTACGTGAGAATTAGGTTGAATTCTGTTCCAGGACGTTTCACTCACTCAAGGTGAAATTGATTCAGTCTCAGTATAAAAACAGTGAACACATAATCGGGTCAGTGTTAAGACAATACCACACAGTAAATGCGTATTAAATGACAAGCCACACGCACTGTCAAGGAACTCATGTTATCCAAAACTAAATTAGAGGAAATATAACTAAATATACTAAATGATTGTCAAAATATTAAATCCTACACATTGAAGACTTACACCGACACAATTTCATTTTTCATTAATTTTCGAAACAAATTAATAATTACAGTATTTGAAGGAAATTAGAATAACCATAGTTATATAGAAAAATGGAAAAATCAACAGAAGGATGTTTAGATGGCGATTTTTAGTTAATCCAAATATAAATGCTATATGCAAGGACTATAACTGCAGCAATAGCTATAACAGGGGGATCAGCTGGAACTACATCAGCAGCAGTCACTGGCGCAGCAGTTATAAATTCACCGCAGCTGTAACGGCAGCATTAGTTGGAACAAACGCTGCAGAAGCAGCTCATACTGCAGCATCAATGGAAACTGCAGCAGCAGCAGCGGCAGCAGAAATAACTGGAGCAGTAGCAGTTGTAACTGCAGCTCAAGCTGCAGCTCAGCTGTAGCCTGTAACTGCAGTTCAGCTGTTGCTCAGTTGCAACAGCAGCCTCAACTGTAACAGCGGCTTAGCTGTAAGTGCTGAAGCAGCACGAACTGAAGCAGCAGTTGTAACAACAGCAGCAGCAGCAGCAGCAGTTGTAACTGCAGCCTCAGCTGTAACAGCAGAAAATGCAACGAGGTCGTTGCTGCCTGAGGCGACAGCAGGCGGCGCGACATAGCTGCGGTCGTTGCGTCACGGCAGCACGACGCATGACCGACCTCAGTCCACGTACTGAATTGTTCCTTTGTGGCGCAATGAATGCAATGAACAATTGAAAATGGCAGAGCAGATATAAACGATGACAATTTGTAATCATTAAATGTAGAGAAGTTCATGAAATAATTCCGTTTAACAGTACTTAGAGCTCTAGAATTTTGCATTTAATATGGATTTTAAGATCGTCTAAATGCAAATACAATCAGCTTTATTCACAAATTGCTATTATAACGACGATTAATTGAGTGTCATAATTCAAAATAGAATTTCACTCAAATTATAACCAGTGTGAACCAAAAATGTATTGCATTTTTTGAGTTGATTCAGGTGCTAGCTTATGACAATGATTAGGTTGATGTAGATTTAGCCTTATTATTAACTTAGCTAGTCTGGAGGGCCGATAGGAGTCATTTAGTCATTTAGTCATAACAAACGAATGGGGAACATATTGAATTCATGTTGAATAGTGAGTGACAGAGAGCGCATTTTCTCGTTGACGAAAACTTGAGGTCACGGACGGACAGACAGACAGACAGACAGACAGACAGACGGACATGGCGAGCACAATAGTGCATTTTTTCCATAAATGAGAAAATGCGCTAAAAATGAATTCATCCTGGCTCGAAATAGAAAACCTTCGCCATTTATACGGGGGTGGTGAGTTCAAGTGTTTTGAGTTTTGCCATTCTGGGCATCCTCTTCATTTCTGTCAAGAACACAGGAGAAAAAGGCGGTCATGACTCATTTGAAGGAAGTCGAATCTCGTTGCTATCTAGTGAAACGTTTGCTTACGATCTGAAGTCTGAAGAAATATCCAGCAAAGCTAGTAATTTCTTCTGAGTCTTGCCTCTGTCTAGAATCTAGGTAGCACCATCCGTGTACTCTCTTGCGGTTCTAGCTTCTAGGTACGTAGTAAAATTTTGCATTTAAGGTGCTTGTAGGCAATTTTGCATTTAAGGTGCAAGAAAAGTTCTAGGATTTGTGTTTACTGATGCCTGGAAAAAGCTTAAACAGAAGCTTGAAACCTTGAATGTTTTTTGTATGAGTTATCAGTTTTATTGCTCCATTATTCCGGCCTTTAGCACAGAATATTCCTACCAGGAAATGAATAGGATCATAAGGTAACAGGTGAGATGTAAGATCTCTTGAAGCGTTTAATTTTAGCATCTTTTATCAAACGTAACCAAAACTTGAGCCCAATTAGCCGCAGCTGTTACTGAAGTAGCAACTGGATCTAAGGACTAACGCCATTAACGCACGTCACACAAGTCACCACTCGACAAATACTGCAGTTGTTTCGCCGCTCATAAAAAATATAGGTAATTAAATCTGGTCACTGTGTGTGTGTGTGGTCAGAACTCGCTCAACTCGGAACCTACGAAGTACGGTACCTATATAGGGTTCGATAACCATATGACGACTACGATTGCGAAGCTGTTTTGATCGGGCTAGAAAGATAAACTTTAGTTTCGCGCCCATAAAATAGATCGTTTCTATGGAAAGCCGTCGACTTTACTGCCTTGTCAGTTGTCGCTGTCGGTGCTATCGCAGCGCTATCGGCATTGACGGTAAGTGTACGACCCCTTGGACATTCGTATTATTTCGTAAGCGTTCTATTCCTCGTAAGTCGTACGGGCATTTTTCTGTCGGACGCATTCCAATCATCAATGTCAGGTTTTCTGAAAAGTTTGCAAAAAATTATTTCGTCGATTATTGTAGCTGATTTTCTGTAACTGGACCGTAAGTATTACGAATCTTAACCCTACTCGTTTTAAGGATACTTTTCAGTAAATATTGGTGTAATCAGACAGATCAGTAACTGTTGTCGAAATTTGAACTATGTTAACATATACTACTATTAGCTGAAGTATTCGGCGCATTTTCCTTGTTTCGGTGATACTCTTTTTACGTTTATGTAAGATGCATTGTCTTTGGGTCTACAGAATAAACGTCACAAGGAAATAAATGACATGAATGTAAATTGAACGATTTTAACGGATTCATTGCGTTTGGTGCAGAACTGCAGATGAGGTAAGCATGTGCATACCGGGAAATGTTCAATGATGCACATTGATGCACTGCTGCATCGCGTTGGTTGTAATCTTGAAATACATAGAAGCTTGAAAATGGAATGAGCTCACCAGAACAAAAATAACTGTACGCTTTTCCCTGTGTAGAAAAATATAATAAGTCTGATATTTTGTTATGAGGGAGGGTTTATATTTTCTCTTGGCTTTAATATACGCTGTTATCAGAAATTTTGGAGACTTTTTCACCAAAGCCTCAAGTGCAAGGACGAATTTACAAGGTATGATGTTGTTTGACGTGGATGATTAACACTCGGCAAAGTCTGACGTTCTTTGACTCGGGACTTGAAATTCACTCCAGCGTAAAATTTATTTATCTAACTCTGACAATGAACTCACTGCAACGTGTGTCGTAGTTTGACTCTGGTGTTATCAGCATGTTGACTGCCGGTGCCGTATACGAGCACCTCTGATGACAGGAGTTGACTCAAGGCCTCTGCAAGACCTGGCACGTCTCTGGCAAGCGCTCGCACGTGCCACAGCTGCTGGAGCACCTGGCACGCCTGTCATGCATAAAACACGCTGTTATAATGAACTATATTTGTGCAATGGTAGATTACCACCATTGGTTCTAATGAACTATATTTGTGTAATATCGCTATACGACTACCGACATTTTTTCCAACGAAAAGAACCGGTAGAAAGGAAGGAGTGCTTCTTTATAAAAAAATTATCAAAACGCGTAGCAACCAATATTTTATCTGTGATTGGTGGGTTTAGCTTGAAAATCTAACAGTGATTGGCTGACAGAGTTACAAACTCGTAACTATTTTGATAATATTAATATCACAGCCCCAGGCCTCCAGTAGAAATTTAGCAATCAGTTTAACGAAGAAACTTCCTCCAGGTACGAATACCAATATTCACGTATGAATAACAGGCTTTCAGGTGCGAAAAACATTGAAGGTTGTTAATGGATTCGTAGACAAGGGGGCGATGCTTGATTTGTCACCTGCTTGCTGAAGTCGCCGTACAGGTTGCGTGTGTTGCTCAGCATCTTCCGTAATTCTTCGCTCGCTTCGTCGAACTTCTTGTCGTTCATCAAGACCTGCGGTAACGAACGACAATTGATAATTCCAGAATTAACCGGACGCTCGTAACGTCGCTTGACATATTTACGAGAAACGCATCGATTTTTTTACGTGCAACGGTGCAAGTAAAGTAATAAGGCGGCCAGAAGCGAGATTTCTCGACTTATACATTACAGACTTATACATTACAGGCAGTGCAGCGGCAGCCTAACATGTCTTTATGTGAGTACAAGTCTACTTGGGTTCAGAATTGTTCTGTACTCGCTGATTGTTGGTTTCCAATATATTATATCCCAGTTTCTGATAGAGCTCGTAACTTTGATGATTCAGCGGTTTTACAATTAAATAAATTTACATGGAATAAATTTGTACTACGAATTTGCTTTATTTGCAGAGATAAGTGCGACTGCTATCCCAATAAAAGTTAACCTGAGAGGTAAGTCCCTGAAGGGTGAGGGCAGGGCAGCTGACGGCCCCTTGCGCTCTGCTGACGACGGTGTAGAGGCTGTGTAGCTCGCGCAGCGCGTCAGCTGCTTCGTACCGACCCTGCGTTACCTGTTGCGTTTCAAACCAATGACTAATTGCCTCAGTGGTTTGGCCGAGACCTAAATGACTAACGACGTTAGAACCTGTTGGTCCATGACGGCCGTCAAAATAACATCTGAGGAGACCTACATGACTGTACTTGAAGACAAAGACTGATCAGCTATCGTGGCTTTGACATGAACTTTCTGTATATGATCATTGGTTGGTAGAGGATATTTGCGCTTTAGATCATTGGTTTTATGTTGTGTTGAAATGCGATCTATTTATCACTGACTAGCCAATAATAATGACTGCGTGGCTCAAAAAATTTCCCGGAAATTATTGAACTAGCTACATGCAATACCTTGACGAACTTCTTCCTGCTTAAGTGACTCGACGGTGAAACACAAGCTTATTTCAATCGTAATAATCACTCTTCTCTTTTCATTCGTCATTTTGGTACAAGAATGAATTTTATGACGGACAGCTTTTCGCTGATTTCACACTACCATATTGTGGATAACTTTACGCATTTGAAAGTGCACCTTTTATTAATCATATAGAGTAGCAATGATTGTCTGAATTTATCAACTGTAGCGGCTAAACCCACCTTATATCTTACAAGGAGGGCTCTTGCATCCAATTCTGCTCCGCTGCCGGGCCTGTTACTGAAAAAAATTACACTAGAAACGTTAAATTAACCTCTGAAGCAATCGGACGCTAGGCAAATCAAATTTAATTGTTAGAAACAAAATTTTATTTTTTTTTATGTTAGAGTGCAAAAATGTGAGTCTGTTCCTAAAAAGTTCATGAATAATTCTGCTAAATACTAATAACAATATTAAAGTCCTGATCTGAAAAGCAGAATAAATTGATGAGCTCAGACAACGTACATAGCCTTCGTTATTTGCACAGCTCTACTCAGCATCGCCAGTCCTCTGGTCACATCGTCTCCGAGGTGGAGATTACTTCTTGCATGATCTTGTATGGGTTCTGTATCGATAGATTCCAGTCCACTTTCTTCCACGTTAAATTGCGTGTTCAAATTTGAGGATAAACTCTTGCTGACGCTGCTTTTCAAATTACTTCTAACAGGAAATTGTCCATAGCTAGATGCTAGTCGTTCTCTGATTCTTGATCTCGATGAAGCAGTCGTCAGCTTTAAATCGTCAAGAGAGACTTGGGCGAGTTTTTTGGTTTTCTCTCGCTGCTCTTGGGAGTTGAGAATGAGCAGCTCCCCGTACTGCTGCAGTAGCAGCACAAGGCGTCGGTCGTGCGCTCCGCCAATGTCTTCAGCTCGTCTAACAGCATCCTCAAGCTTCTCCTGAATTACAAAGAAGAGAATACCATGTGCATCAATACTCTAATTCAGTGCCGTTAAATAGCCGTTAATTAAAATGTTGTGAATTGCAGTTCGCGGTTTGTGTCACTGCGACACGCAATATTTTTACCATTTTGTTTACGACGTGCTGGTAGAACCAAAACGTTATAACGTACATATATGACATCGCACCTTAGCATATTGTCACTGCGAAAACGCATTCAGGATTGCAATATGCAGGTAGAACAACGTTTTAAGGCAGAAATGATAACGCACCTTCGCCTGCGAGATACGACCTTTGCTGGCAAGCAGAGCAGCTTGCACCCTGAGCGTGTGAAGTATCAGGTCCCCGGGCTTTACGCTGCGCAGGCTTGCGGGAATACTTCGCCGAGTTTTATTAAACTGGAGAAAATATAAGAATCATGATTATTAATATATGTTGAATTTTATATTCGTGTCATCAGCATGAATTCTAATTAATATATATTGAACTATATATACCGTACCCGTTCTATCAGCTTGAATAGTGTATCTGAAAGAATGACGCGTTTGGATCGAATATCAATCAAGCTGCAAGACGACAAAATATGTACGATGTCAAGCGGAATATACTCCACACTATAGCTTCTGCTAGGAAGTCAATCACAATGTAGCAATGAATATCTAATTCTCTGCCGAAACTGAAAAATCTAAAGTAAACACTTGGTGAAACATAACCCGTAACAATAACAGGCGTTATCGGCGTGTGATGGCAGCGCGATGGCCGGCGGAATAAGTGTTTAGATTCTTTGATGCCATAAGCACAATGAATAGCGTTGCACGTATGTTATAAGCTCATTGAAGTTTTGCCATTTTATTCAACTATTTCTTTATTATTAATACGATTAATAATTTACCACGGTATTAACAGGCTACCTAACTATCTTTTTTGTACTCTGAAATTTCAATGTGCGAATGGTTTTTACTTTACAAATATTCTTGCAACCTGGACCTCACATCAGATTTCGTTTGCCCATCTTAACAAGATCTCTGCGAGGACAGCTTTTCATAAGCCGTTTTGTTTACCATAGTTTTCGCTATGCAATTTGCCAATGCAAGTTACTTGTTGAGGTTTGGTTAAAATGTGCTAACGGGATCATAGGCTAGGTTCAGAACATTTTTTTTTCTTAACCGAACCATTGGCACGAAAAACAGCCCGCACGCATGAGCTGAACGGCTGGCTGGCCGTCACGTTTTTAATCACAAAATATTCTACGTAGCAATTATCGTGGCGTCTGATTTAAACGAACTTCGAGGGTACGTTGCACACAAGTTTAATAGTAAGCAAAAAATGGAAAGACACGAGATGAGACAACGGATAAAAATGGCTATAAACACAAGATTCATATATGCTCTACGGAATACTTCTGTCTCAAGGCGTCGACGCAACAAGGCGTCGACGTGTTTGGTAACCCGTCAGGGCTTTAGATGCCATAGATGGTTGTAAGGTGGTGGACTGGTGGGCGATGAGGGGAAGGTGTTTTATTTACATTGTTAACATTTTTTGAGCAGAGTTTAACAAAAATACAAAAATGATTCGTACTCTAACTATTTACATGCGTTTTCGATTTTTTGGTGTAATTTTTTTATTTTCTCAGATGGTATGATGAAATGAGGGGGTGATGATGTTGATGAAGATCGATGAAGATGAAGGCGGTTGGTGAGTCGCTCGAGACTGAGGGAGTTGGGGGTTAGTTGATCGTTCTACTTCGTACTGAGTTTTCGGTCTCGTCAATACCATAAGTCACTCTTTGTGTAATGGTGTCGTGGATGGCGTGTGTGGTTTTGGGACCAGCTACAACCAAACGTGNTCGACAATACTTTATTATCTTTCATCATTGATATCAACAGTTATACAATGCAAATAAACACCGACTAAATAACCTTCCACCACCCTTGATGAGCGATGTCGTGTTATTTAGAGAGGCCTTAATTATGGCACTTATTATTCTAAATGACAAACTTTTTTCTCGAAGACGTTAGCGTGTTTATGAGCTCGGGACAGCGAAGCTGTTGCGCCGTCCAGTCTGCCTTGCAGCAGGCGCGCCTCTCCCTCGACCAGGGCTGACACCACCAGCAAATGCCGCACCTTATCCCACCATGTAGAGACAAACAACGTTGAATAAAGTTTAGTTAACATTGTTCCAATCAAACAACGCTAATTTCAACGTTGATTCAACGCCGTTTTCCTGATGTGAAACATCAGTAAGTTGCTCATTGCATTTTATTTGGTGGGACGTATATTCAGTATAGCTCACATTCTTATGTCAGTGCTGCCCAATTTATTTCACGTACTGACCGAATTTGGTTTTGATGCGTCAAATTCGACATTTATAGCTAAATTAAGTAAGTTACAATGTTTTTTTTCTCAAATTCATACGCTTACTAACGATACAACTAATGATAATTTGCCCCCGTTAAGGGTACTGCCTTCTATGGTAGAGTATATCATTCCCAGAAATTCGATAAAAATAAATTTCATTTCCATGTTCCAGAATCCGAAATGTCGGTTGACCAACCGTGTGAATGAAACTGCAAGCAGAGCAGCTTGCACCCTGAGCGTGTGAAGTAGCAGGTCCCCGGGCTTTACGCTGCGCAGGCTTGCGGGAATACTTCGCCGAGTTTTATTAAACTAGAGAAAATAAAAGAATCATGATTATTAATATATGTTGAATTTTAATCTCGTGTCATCGGCATGAATATTAATATACATTGAACTTTAAGGGCTGATCAGACGCTCCTACGAGTACCTAGATATAGAAATGATAAAGCTGTTGTTTACTTCTGTCGTGCGCCCGAACCTAGAGTTTGGAAACGTTGTGTGTTCACCGAGACTTAAAAAGGACAAAAATTTAGTTGAGAGTGTTCAAAGACGTGCAACAAGGATAATACCAGGATTAAAGGACAAGTCTTATGAAGAAAGATTGAAGATTATGAAGCTTCCCAGTCTCCACTATCGTCGCCTGCGTGGTGACCTCATTGAAGTATACAAGTATACTCATGGTTTGTACAAGGTCCCAGAAGGATAACTAGAATTTGAAACAAGAACCAACACCAGGGGCCACAGCTATAAACTAAAAAAACTGCGGTTCAACTTATCCACGCGACAACATTTCTTCTCGCTTCGAGTCACCGACATGTGGAACAGCCAAGAATCGGCGACAGGCCTATCCAGGCTTATTCTTCAATGCCGAAGATACTATACTATACTATACTTTATACCCGTAGCTGTAAGACGACTAACATGTACGATTTCAATTGTTATATACCCCCACGATGTATAGCTTCTGCTCGGAAGTCCATCATAATGTAACAATGAATATTTAATTATCTGCCGAAAATGTAAAATCTAAACACTTAGTTTACCCGAAACCGTAACTGGTGTTATCACAGGGCCATAGGAGCTTATATGACAGCGCGATGGCCGGCGGAATGAATAAGTGTTCAGATTCTTTGATGTCATAAGTACGAGAAGGTACCGCATATGTTATAGGACCATTGAGGTTTTGCCATTTTATCAAACTATTTGTATTATAAATACGAATAATAATTTACCACGGTTACCTACCTTTTTTGGACTCCCGAAATTTCAACGTGCGAATGGTTTTTACTTTACATATATTCTTAAAACCTGGACCTCAAAAGATCGCGCAATATCGGCGTCACGCGGTCGAATTTCCGTTTATTGCACACGAGTCGCGCCGAAGCGTTCATTAAGGATTGCAGTTTATTCAGTGCCGTGGACGGTAGTCCATAGAGTGTGGCGTTACCATAGTCCAATCTGGTCAGTACGAGGGCCTCGAGGACCGGCCTCAAGAGACAGCTGCTAACGCTACGTATTCTTCGTAGAGCGCCAAAACAAGCGGCGGTTACTTTGGCAATGTGATTTTTCATAGTTAGTTCAGAGTCCAGCTGAATGCCGAGTTTGCAAACCGAAGACGCGGGCATGACGAACTCGTTAGCCATGCGAACAGGGTTGGCTGGAGGATGATGCTGGCGCCGAGCAGTCGCCAACCAAATGAAGTGTAAGTTTTTGATGCATTGAGCTGGAGCAGGTTGGAACGCATACAGTCTTAGGACTGATCCTTGTGGCGCGTCCTAAGTGACCAACGATGGCGTAGAAGAAGAGCTCCCGCGTCGAACGCATTGGAATCTATTGCTGAGATAGGACTCGAATCACAGCAGCACTGAGACTCTCAGGCCGAACGAAACGTCTAGTCGACCCAATAGAGTAGGATGATCGACCGTATCGAATGATGCCGACAGGTCGAGTAAAGCTAGTGTTGCAATGTCGCCGCGGTCTATTTACTGCTCGCAGAATGTCTGAAAGCACCTTCAGCACAACGGTTTCCGTCGAGTGGAGATGACGGTCTGCGGCCTGGAGGCGAGGCATGAGACCGGACTCCTGAAGACGGTTATTCAGCTGTCTGGCCACAATGCGTTCCATGAGTTTCAACAAAGATTGGAAATGGGTTGATGTGATTTGGGATCAGAAGCGTCAATGCCTGTATTTTTCAATCGAGGCGTATTGTAAGCTGATTTGAACTTTGGAACAACGCCATCAGTGATGCAGCGGTTGAAAAGTTCGACCAAACACAATCCCTATAAGTAATGTCAGCAGCGGATCTCTAGCACAGTGCTTGTTAGGCAGCTTGTGCACTGCAGCGATGACATCGTCAGTTGTGACGCCAATGAATTGTTGGAGCAGGCAGTCAAACGGGCATGGCGCAAATGTTTCCGACGAAGCATCGACCGACGGCTCTTGCACAGCAGAAAAGTAGAAATTTGTTTTAAAAAACCGCATGTAAATCCTCTACGTTACGTCACCCGAAGCGACATTAGCATCCAAAAATACCTTTTTGGATGCTAATGACGCAATATTGTTTATTTAGTGCATGAATTATTTATATAGTGTGGTGTTTCATGATTTATAGGCATGAATTCGACAATACTTTATTATCTTTCATGATTGATATCAACGGTCATACAATGCAAATCAACGCCGACTAAATAACATTCCACCACCCTTCATGAGTAATGCCGTATCATTTATAGAGGCCTAAGTGTTGGCAGTTATTAATTCTAAATGACTGACTTTTTTCTCGAAGACGTTAGCGTGCTTATGAGCTCGGGACAGCGAAGCTGTTGCGCCGTCCAGTCTGCCTTGCAGCAGGCGCGCCTCTCCCTCGACCAGGGCTGACACCACCAGCAAATGCCGCACCTTATCCCACCATGTAGAGACAAACAACGTTGAATAAAGTTTAGTCAACGTTGATTCCATTTTACAACGCTTATTTCAACGTCGCTGCGTCAACGTCGTTGTCTTGATGGGATACAGCATTAAGTTGCTCTTTCATTATTATTATGTATAATAGTCATTGCATTATATTTGTTGCGACGTATCTTCACTAGAGCTCACATTCATATGTCTGTGCTGCCAATTTTTTTTTTATCTAATGACCAAATTTGATACTACGTCACAAGTCTGTTACTTCTTTCGGTTCGCCAACTTTGATATTTATAGCTTAATTATGTAAGTTACAATGTTTTTTTTTTCAAATTCATACGCTTACAAACGATACGACTAATGATAATTTGCCCCCGTTTTGAGTACTGCCTTCTATTGTAGAGTATATCATTCCAAGAAATTCGATAAAAATAAATTTCATTTCCATGTTCCAGAATCCGAAATGTCGGTTGACCAACCGTGTGAATGAAACGACTATCCTTTGCTGTCAGTCTTTCTGTTAAGGTGTGACGACCGGAAAACTTATGCGTGAAGCCTAGTGAAATCTCGATTTTCTAGCCTGCTCTGGGTTGTTGGATTATGTCATCATAATCTATCGTAAAAATTTAGTAACAGCAAATAATTTTCTAAATTGAAACCCTCTTACGAAATAACACATTTTATAGGGTCGACATCAAGGTAGCGGAAACAACGGGACCTCTCAGAATCCCTAGTAATCGAAATTAAGCGTTTACCTGTAATTTCTTCCGCGGAGCCAGAGGAGTACCTAAATTCCTTAGTAAGATTTCTTTCGCAGTCCTTGCTTCATTTTCTGCCTGAGGAAAAAATTCCTGCCAATGAAATGGCTCATTAGATTATAAATGTAGTAATTCATGGTAAAAATAAATCTCTCATTATTAATATCATTTTGTAACTTATCATCGTCTATATCTTTCATCCGTTTCGCTTGTGTAAACTGACCTGAATTTCTCGATAAACTTAAGAAGTAAGAAATAACCTTAAGGTAAAGATAAGCCTGGGAAAGAAAGACTCTACAGCGACATGTTCTCCAGTGTTCGTCTCCATGAACGATCCTGGCGAGGGCGAAGCCTCGGACGAACTCCTCTACCGCCTCGTCGCCCTGCCGCAAGGCGAGGTGCCGCCGGCCGCGGTACAGCGCGTTCTTGAGGCGCGCTCGTGGTGGGTAGCCTACGTCGTCTTCTGCAGACATGCGTGACAATGCGTCCGGTCCTGTTCAGTTTTAAATACAATGCGTGAAATTGGAGTGCATGTAGCGTTTCATTGCGCTCTAAAGTTCTCATTACATAGTTGGTACACTTCTGTTTTGAAATGCATATTGAAACACTTGTGTACAAAATCACAAAATCTTTACGGACTATGTTATTATAATAAGAATTTATCTATTTAAAGTTTATTGTTACTTTAATGCTGTTTCCGCTGTTTGCATTAAAACTTCACACGTGTTTACCGTCAGTGTAGTCTGCAGAAGTAGATCTGGTCCGGATGTCCGTGCTGCTCCGACTCTGCCACTTGATGAGCTTGCCTTTGCGTCTCCGCACACTGCCGTCGTCAGAGAATTCGCACGGCGAAGGGTCAACGGCTTCAGGCGAATGCTCGTTATTTCGAAAGATTTCTGGTACTTTTTGTTCCGCTGATTCTCTGGATGTGATGTTTGTTGCTGTGTTTGACGGGAAGTTACTTGCATTTGAATCTACGTCGAGAACGAATCCATTTATTTTAACTGGCGTCTTGTGATTCGCTGCGTGCTCGCCGGTTGATGAAGATGATTCAGTTTCATATGTATTTTTTATGTCGTCGCCACTATTCATAGGTAATTCGTCATCGCTTTCAAACGATGATTCATACGTTTCTTTCTCATCATTTGGTTCATGCACCATTTGCTTTCTTTCTTCCGTTTTGCTCTCGATGATGACATTACAAGCATCGCTAAAATCATCCGAGGGAGTGGCATAACATGCATCATTATTGGCGTTTTCGTCAGTTGTATTGACCGCGTCCTCATCGTTGGACTCGGTTGCTTCTTGACGTTCCGGTAAAATCGGTAGAAAAATTGAGCTCGCCGCTGCTGTTGACGCGGGCAACGGCTGCACGTTGCTGAAATCAAAGCGGAATTCTTCAGGTCAATTCTCAATAACGACGATGCTGTCACTTGATTATAATTTCGTGTAAACTTATGTCATTCACATTTCAAAGAATTCTACTCGTAAGCAATTCTGTCTCTAATCAAGAATATCTGTTTCCGATTACTGATTTCTACAGTCCACATAAAGTCGAATTAGAAAATCCATTGGAGGTAAAAGAAAAAGAAATTTGGCGGAGGAAAGCCTCTCAAACCTCTACGAATTGTGATTAATGCAACCATGACTTATTTATCTCAACGAGAATTTTCATCGTGGATCATGTCTGCACGTGAGCATATAGTGTCTGCATTATAACAAGCATATTAGTTAAAGATAAACTTTGAAACAATTTTCTCTAAATTATCTTACAGTCCTTGCGTACCTTCTTCGCGTATGACCTCTTCTCCTGGCCGGTCTTGGTCCATCATCGCCTCCTACGTTCCAGAAATCCTCGTCTGAGCCACTGTCACTCATGGCCTTAATTTGTCATAATTATTTACTTAATAATTAATTTCATCTCGTAATTAATTTTCAATCGTTTCTAAGCGTCCGACGTTGTGCTACATATTTTTTATATATTTACTAAAGTTTTAAAACAATTTATTGAGAAATTTAAACTTACATTTGTCAACAGCGCTTACATCGAGCGTTAACCAATCAGCTTGTAACGTTTGTTTGAATTTTCGATTAGAACTAGACGGAAATTATTTGGATTCTAATTTAATGAAATCGGATTCAGCAAGCGACTATCACAGCAGCTCCGAAACTGCGAGCTTTTGTTGGAGTGTCTTAACATGCCGTTACCATGACAACGCCAGCCGCTCAGTCTTAGCTGTGGTTACAAACTTTGCTTTGGTAGCCGCATTTAATTTGTTCCATTCCGGCCACAAAAACGAATTCAGGTTTCAATACACTAACTCTAATTTTGATGTGGTGAGAAAATTCTAGCGATTAATTTGCATGTTGAAACTGATCCTTTTAAGCATTTTGGAACCAAAGAGCGCCTGATCGAGTTACGTTCATCGACCGGATAAGGATTACTTTAAATTTTACTGGACTTATTAATTGCTGAATGTTCTATACCAACTTGTGCTGATGGGCGAAGGCATACAATATACGACTTATAATATAGTTGGAACTTTAATTTGCAAGAATCATAATTTTATTTTAAGGAATTAGGTTTGTTTCCAAAGAACACGAGTGGAGCAATGTAAATTTCAAACAGGTAATCAATATATTTTTTCCATTTTTATATAATAGGTTTAATCAAATGAATAGATCTATTGACATAGGTAGAGATTTAAAATGGTTTGGAATAGAGTATTAATTGATCTGCTTTGCGTTTGCAGACACCCTGACGCCGCTGCGCGTGTCGTGCGCTCCCGCTCAACGATGCCAAAGTGTGGATTGAGTTTCAACCTGCTCTAGGTGAGGATTTAAACACATTTATACCTACTTCAGATTGTCATTAAACTTTCTCAATCAGTGAATTAATATTAGTCGACTTCTTTCAAAATTTAATTGCAGAATTGAGATTACGAATTGGTCTATTCTACAGAATGTTGCTTTCGTTTCGATTTAGTTTAGGATCTCGATTAAATAAAAATATTTCTCTTTGAGGAGCAAGAATGTTCTCTTTTCAACAACATCCGTTCATTATCGTCTATGCAGTGCCAAACAGACGCGGTCTAATCAATAAGGGTTCAAGTTGCCGCGCCTGCTTTCTTTAATATTGGTTGTCTCATATTTGTCCTACTTTTAATAAGCTAACGGAGGTTTGATTAGAACGCCACGGAAGCCTCCAATTACCAGTCGCTCACGCGTATAAAACAGTAATATGGGAACAATTAGGGAACATTCATTTTGCGTGAATGCTGACGTAAATATTTGAGGTTATTTAAAAAACTAGATCTCGACTACATGTAAGCAAGGATTTGGTTGCGGAAGCGGAAATGAAGCGATCTATTGATGAATGAGCAGTTTATTCAAATGATTTAATCAAACACAGAATATACAAAAATGGCGAACAATGCAAATGACTAAAATAGTTTTTAGAAGAGCGTGAAAGTAGGCGCACTAGTACTATACTGAAAAACGAATGAAGACAAGTCAATAATTTAAACAGCTAAATGTTGAATGCGAAGATACACTAACGTAATTCAAATATAAGCCCGTGCGTGTTATAATAGTGCCATACTCCTCTTCTCGTAATCTAAACTAGTCACTGGATTCATTTATTGTAAATCATATTGAAGCGCTGTAATATGATTACGAATCGATGCAATGCATATACAGTAAAGTCGTTAATTTTAATAGCTCATTTTACAGTTTATTCTCGCACATGAGCAGACTCGAACGTAGACACGGTAGAAATAAGTCTTAATTAGTTAAAAAGTAACGACTAGATTTATGTATAGGCTTGACAGGATATTTACTAGACATCAGCAATAACGTGAAGAAAGATTTTCTACAAAGAAAACTCGTTGTTTTTCAGCAGTAAATAATGTTTCCGCGATTATTATGTTACGGACTCAGAGGAAAGACTATTTCATTTTTCACTAAACGATACGTCTATTTCACCCACAGCGAGGCAAGTCCTGGACGAAGCAGGCACTTCTGTCTGGCTGAACGGGTTCATTAAGACCTACGAAAAGACATGCAGCGCAAAGCTTTATGAAAATTTCTCGCGGGTTTCTCCGAACTATATACCCGCCGAGTGGGATGTGTAAGTACGTATTGCTTCAAACTCGCGTCATTGGTCGACAGACTCTTGGTGAGATTACTTGCACACGTTCGTGTTTCGAAACCTCCCTGAAGTTATTTTGCGAGTTGATGCTGGTATTCATTTCATTGTCGGTCTTTACAGTCCAAAATCGAACGACATGTGTTCCTATTAATGATTTTTCTCATGAGACATGATGTGACCCAAGTTGCCAATGCAACAGTCAAAGATAGACAACATTTAACATCTTTTGTCTCTAACAACAAGTCCTAAATTGAGCTCACAAAGTTACTCTAGAATGAACGACACCGCTTAATCCTCGTATGTATTGCATTTAACTAAAAATAATGAAGTTAGGGGAACAGTATATACATGTTGGTAATGACCAAGTGAAGGTGAACAATGTGAACATCTAGGTATTTCTTGCTTTTTTGATAATTTAGATTATCACGACCAAGTGACACCAAACTTTCGAGGTAAATTTCGCCTTGAATTAATTTATAGGTACATTTTCTGGAATAGTGGGGTGGTGAAAGAAATGTCCAAGTTTTTAAATTAACAATATATATATATACGTCTATATTTATATAAAATCAATGTCGTCATTTGTTAATTGTGCGACTGGATTGCTGATGCATGTCAAATTGTGTAACATTGATGTAGCTTCGTGAGTTACAGATACGTACTCTAATAATGCAAGCCAATTTGTAAATAATGGAGACCAACTTGATGAGAACGTGCTGTGATGCAGGTCAAATGTTGTAACTTAAATAATAATAATAATTTTTTGATCCTAAGCAACTTAGGTGATGGCATATCGCGTCCCGACGAAGAGGCACTGGTGATCTGGGTGTTGTGGGTCGGACTGGCCGCAAGGCAGGATCAGGACTTCCCCGCCCGCCGCAGTGATGGGTTCCTTCTGATGGTGCCGCACCAAATCCCCTGCACAGACAACCCGCGTTCAGCATGTACGTCATATTACTTATATTAAACAAGATATTGATTACCGTATATTTTATCAAGACTGACTGCTGAGAATCGCGCAAGGGTTTTTTTATTGTCAGTGACATTTTACCGTGTTGTGCGGTGACCTCTGGGAGACAAGGAAGGTTTATTAGCCAGCGGTCACAACAGTTACCTAATGTGTCGTGCGGCGACTGCTGGGAGCCAAGGAAGGTGTATTTGCCAGCGGTCACGTCTATGAGGTAGTGGCGGCAGCGGTCCGCGGCCTTGTAGCTGATCGCGTAGCCCCAAATTCGTTCGCTGACACGCACCAAATACGAGCCCAAATCTGCACCCGCCAAGATTTGCTCGGCTTCAGTTCGACTGATGATGCCTGATAAAGATCATCAAGTAATATTAGTTTTCCTTCCGAACAGTTGGGACATAAAGCAGTAGCTATTTTTGTAAACAGCAGTTGGAAAATGTATACATGGACTGAAAATTGACAAGAATGGATTGTTACAGCCACAATGCAACTCCAGCATCAAAAGTGTCATAAGTGAGGCGTAATCTTATTGGATCTTTTGGCTACTTTTCATCCTGATTGGAAGAAAAAAAAAGCCCAGAACTAATTTGTCTTCAAGTCTGCCTGATTAACCGAAATATTATTCATTATATTTCGGTTCGGATGATACGCTAAGTATTACAATACATTACTTAACACAAAATTTATTTGCTCCCACTTTATTTCAAACATTTGTAAAAGATTCCAGACTATCGCACAAGCACATTTATTTAACATACTGTAGGCCTGCGAATTGATGGTCACTTAAATTCGCTTGAGATGTGACGATTGAAACGGCAAACTTAGAAATGCTGTTTTAGGGCATTAATATTTACCTACTCGCTTTATAATGTAGTCTACATGTACATGTAAAATAATGATGATGAATACTGTCACCGATCATTATCAGTTTTATTTATCTAACTCCATGTGGAATAAAACTATGTAATAATTCGCCACATTGTGAAGTACGGTACTCCCTTTTTTCCATAATAAAATCAATCAGAGAATTACATTTTCATTATGTCCAAGCACAATATAAAAATTGGTACAAACTAAAAGGCCACTCAGGCAATTTACTTCTCATGCGTTACATAATATTATTATTCACGAAATGTCAGATTTGCATATTTTGTTTGAGCGTAGCGACCTAACGCATCATGCCTCAAATTACTGCTAGACAAAGCTGGATAAAAATATTTCGTCCGCATCTTATTTTGGCGACGCGCATACATAAAAATGAATGCCACATGTTTCGGAACGAATCATGGTTGTTGGATTCATTAGCAGAAATGATCGTTTTGGATTGCTCGACGCAGGTCACGATACTGTAATAATCTCTCAGAATTTACCGTGGAACCAGGGAGCAACAGCCAGCCTGTCGTCATCCAAGCCTGCACCGTTGGCCAGTTCTTCTTCCCTGAACCAAGCGATGATTGCATCTCGTGAGGGTGGCTTCAGAGGACGCATTATTTCACTTGACCCTCCGATGCTGGAATCATTGGCTGGTCGGTTCTTGCTGCTTCTGCGCAAGTCCGCTTAATGATAAAACTTTTCACTAAAATTACACGTGAGGAATAAAAGTGTAGCCAGAAGCGAGCTAGGCTGGACCCATCAGTTGGTTGACTCTAGCCCAATTCGCTTGAATTTTCACGTATGTCGGATTCCTAAATTTACCTTATACGCAACAGGTCACTATACACTATATAGTCGCATTACCCAAGTGTACAGAGTTCTGAATAACAACGCTACCAGAATGACACGTATCCACATATCGAGTAGACTAGTTTGATTTTAGGTATCGAGGCGAATTCAGGTAACAGCGTTATTCAATAGCCAAGTAATATTTCATGAAAAATCTTTCACGTTACGTTCTCGAATGACGGAAGAAAACCGTTATAAAGGTGACCGAAAAGAATGAGGATTAATGTAACAGAATTGCTATCAAAAAGCAACGTTTTTGAGGTGATCATTGATCGAGTGTCTCCTGCGCCGTCATTGTCAAATATCCCAAGTAACCCTCATGTAAATACACTATGGTATGTTTCAGATAACTTATTTCATTCATTACATTAACTGAGCAAGGTCGGCTGAGGCTGGTTCGGCAGTTGTAGTTGGATTTCCGTTGATGTCAGCCAATTTAACGTTGCTGTTTATGCTGTTATGATGCTGCACATGGGAGTTCTGGACGTCGATGGGGAGAGCACTGTCATTCAGCGGAGCGGCGTCAATAATATCTCTCTTCTCCACGCTGGGACGGCCGTTTTGATTTCTGAAAGACTGACGCCGGTGCTCTTCGCGAGCGCGACGAGCAATTTCTCGGATTCTGATTTCTGCTTCTTTGGCTCGACGTTCTGTGGGATATGAGAACGTCATTACTTTTTATCCATGTAGAGGCGGCAACAAGCACTTAATTTCATTAAAATTTACATATTTTTAACATATAAATAAAAAGTTGGACGCCAAAGTGGAATCTCTTGAATCATTGCGGCAAAATTCCAAAAAAGAAAGTAAGTACTATCTTCCTTGCATTTCATTTAATCGGAATTAATAGCTAAAAATATTACACCTACCACTTTCCAGCCACACTTCGTCGTTTTTCTCGGCCTGTTTTTTTGCGAGTTCAATAATATCTCTCTTCTCCACGCTGGGACGGCCGTTTTGACTTCTGAAAGACTGACGCCTATGCTCTTCGCGAGCGCGACGAGCAATTTCGCGTATTCTGATTTCTGCTTCTTTGGCTCGACGTTCTGTAGGATATGAGAACATCATTACTTTTTATCCATGCCGAAGCGGCAACAAACATTAATTTTCATTAAAATTTAGACGCCAAAGCGGAATCTCTTGAATCATTGCGGCGAAATTCCATAATCAAAGTAAGTACTATCTTCCTTGTATTTATTTAATCGGAATTAACAGCTAAAAATATTACACCTACCACTTTCCAGCCACACTTCGTCGTTTTTCTCGGCCTGTTTTTTTGCGAGCTCAACTTGGTGGCGAAGGTTGTCAAGAATCTCAGCCTGGCGTTTCTTCCTAGCGCGCTCCAGCGTTGCAGTCCTTAGCGCCTCTAAGGATCCCGCGGAGAGACTTTCGAAGCGACGGATTTGGTCTGATACGCCAGTGAGCTGTAACACAAGCAAGATTTATCAATGCGAATCAACTTTATTCAAAGTTAACTGCACAAAATGTCAGAGAGGTTGTGCGCCACCCTCTACGAAATAATTTCATCGATGTTATAAGAAAGCTAATTTGTGGAAATGAAAGCGTAGGATCATATTATTGCGTTACATAATCAAACAATAAAGATTAATTCGGTGTATTGAGTCTATATTAGGATTAAAAATGAGTAAATTAGACAGAAATTGTTGACGGCCCACAATATCCTTTACCGAGGCTCTAGAGGAATTTCTTGTCAGCTTATCGACAAAGCTTTGTTCCTTGAAGACTTCTTCAAGTGGTGGAGGACTCGGCTGCTCTTCAGAAACGTACGTTGGTGATGTGTTGTTTTTCGATGATTTGCTGAACATTGATGATGGGAATGACCGAGAAGAGGAAGAGTTAGTGGTAGTAGTCGTGGCAGGTTTACTGACGCTGGCAGGTTGTTGACTGCCAGGACCAACAGTTAACTTCCCTTTCGACGGAGTTGTTACCGACGAAGAAGTTATGTTGGTAGGCTTAGCATCGGTCATTGACGGCTTAGCTGAGATGCTGGGCGTCGGGAAGCTCGTAATCACCGGCTTTGCAGGACTGGGTTCCCAGACCTTGGTTTGAATTTTCTTTACTTGATTCGCTGAAACGCTTGCGCTCAACGAACCATACGGTTGGATGGAAAAGTTGGGTCCCGTCGTCCTTGGAAGTTTATGAGAACTATTACTAATATTTAGTGAGTTTGTTGCCTGGACAACGTTCGCCGTAGTTGACGCATCAAACGATTTCTGTTTGTTTAGTGAGGTTTGAGCAGAAAGCAAGGAAGGCTTGCTTGGCGTTTGGGTGACCGAGTTCACATCCTTCGACTCTTCTGCGGGAGGTGAAGGCGGAGGAGTTGGTGGAGCAACCGAATTTGCTACGTTGTTGAACGATATGGAATGTTGCTGAGACATTTTACTTTTATCTAGAGATGTGGACAGCGGGCCACGACCGTCTGTCTTATTACTACCCTCACCATTTGAATTCGCCAGAATGTTGCCACTCGACGGTGCGTGAACGTAACCTAGAGGGGTGACCAACCCAGTATCGTTAACGTGTTTGTCATTGACCGCCTCATTAACTGTTTCTATAGGTGCTGGTTCTTTTTCTTCTAATTCCCGTATCTGGAGCTCCATTTCCATTGTGGCTTCTTGCAAAGATCGAACAACGGCAGCTCGAACAGGGTTGTCCTTTTCGCGCTGAAAGAATTCAAAGCTTCGATAAGATTCAAGTAAATAAACATGATGTGAATTTTACATACCCAAGCTCTCTTTAATAAAGATCAGAATTACCATTCCTAAAATAAAAAAAATCATTATAAAGGGCTGAACATTATGTTTCCTCACTTTTGTTCGAAGAAAGCTGTCCTCTTCCATCTGTTGAACTGTAGACCGACTGAGACGTACGAGTCTGTCGAGCTCCTCTTCCGCCACGCTCCTGTAATGCGCAAAGAAACTGAATAAAAATCTTCACTAATAGGTACCATCCAAAAGAATTAAGGAATAAATAAATATCTCACTTTCAGTGCGTTTTTATTAAAAATTGAGAGTGCATCACGGATGGAATTCCTCTTCTAAAAAAAGAGCGTTATATGAATGAACAAATTTTAACGGGAAAACAAGAAATATTTTTTAGTATCACAGCTTTTGTGATTGCATCCTAACCACATTCATTTCAATTGTCATTATTTATTTATTTTTGTGAATGTTTGAGTCACTGAAACTTTGCAGCAGCTATATTTTTCACTCAATAACTATGGAAAATTTTGAGCTACATCTAAAAAAATACGGAGTTCACAGTACATTTTCCGGTATAATACGAGTAGCGATTCCGAAAGTGACGCTTGGCAATGTTGTAATGCCATTTTAATTCAGAATTTTTGAATAACTAACTAAATCGGACGAGAATGCGATATATATGATTTTCAAACCATCACTTGTGACCAAACTATCATAAAAATCTGATGTAAAATTAACTTACGGCAATGTAAAAATTCTTAGCCTTAGTATTGTTACAGTAACTCTAGTTATTAGGCCTCCAGTTACGAATAAAAATGACGGTGGTTAATATTATAAAAATATACCGAAACTCAGTACTCACTGCAGTGAGTGGCAGAGAGCGCATTTTCTCGTCGATGAAAACATGAAGTCACGGACGGACGGACGGACATGGCGAGCACAATAGTGCATTTTTTCCATAAAGGAGAAAATGCGCTAAAAGGGTTAATAATGACATTTACAGAATTTAAGGACACAGCAAAGCCAGACAGGAGGAGCTCCACCTATAAAAAAATACGAGTACTGGCAACGACGCCAGGCAAAGCTGCTTGGTACTCCACCCATGCATCAATGCAGGCGAAACTTGTTCGACGGCATCCAGTGACTGACCATTTCTTAGTGACCACGTAAACCTGCCTTAAAACTTCATTGTTCTATTGTATGTGCAGACTTCATTATGTTATGAAACAATAAGTATTCAATCGCGAAATATATATTTTTAGCAAGATTGTACCAAAAATCTGTGATGTAGAAGACGAATAACGGCGTAAGAGTATTCTCAAAAGCCGGAGAGTAGAACAAAATAATGCATCTAAAAAAATTACGAACCAAATACATTGCTCGCCATAAATGAAATTTCAAAATTGTCGGACACATTTCAAGTAATCTAAAAATTTATACTAGCGAGATAATGAAACGAGCAAAAGCTAAATGAATCGAAAGGACCTAAAACCTCTTTTATGCATCAGTCTCAAGAAGGTCAGGTTTGTGTGACGCATTTATGAAGTTGTAGTTATGTATATAGACCAACGACGGATGAGGGTATGACAATGAAAATTAGCGAAAGTTACCTTCACCTCGCGTCTTCAGTTACATGGTCGATTCAAATTAGACGTTAAATATTTAATTCACATTGCGAAAAGTTTCTGTAAAACTGCGTAAACACTGGTACTAGCAGCACATGTTCTAGCACATTCATGTAAGTTGTATGCTATGCTGTGAGCCTGTGTGTCACTGTGGTTAGATGCATTAACGGCGCTTGGTTACCGTCAAAAAGCGGTGCTTCCAGCAAGGCTTTGGCTGCAAATAAATAAATTGGCTGCACATAAAATTTGGCTGCAAAATTTTACGATTAAAAAAAATAAAAATTAATATTTGCAGCCAAATTTGGCCGCAAATAAAAATTGGCTGCACAAGACTGACTTGATAAGCGGCTCCTCGGCCTCCGTCTGGCATCGCGCTCGTTCCTGAAGAAGGTTGTCCACATGAGGCTCCCCCAACACCTCCACCGTCGGCTCTCCATCAGAACCCACCAGGAACGAGACTTTCTTCAGGCCTGAAAGCCAACACATTCATCAACTCTCATTGATTAACGCTTTGTCCAAAATTAGAAAAAATTTTGTTACATTCTCAGGAGCTGTTTATTAATGACCGTTAAAACATTCTCAGGAGCTACTTATTAATGACCGTTGAAATTTCTGGCATTTTACATAGTGTATTACCAAGTAAAAAGAAAATAAGGTCAAAATAATGCTGGTAACTGATCATGATTGATAAGAGCAATAAATGGTAGAATATTTTCAAATGACTATTAAGTTTCACAAGTATGTGATTTTTTCGCTTTGAGTAGAACATAATCCCACGAGAGGCTGGAAATACGAAAACAATATGAGTGACAGAATGCTAAGTTTCAACGTAGAACTCTTTTATATTGAACAATCAACGGTTAATTCCAACAGCAAAATCCGGGACACACGAACAACAAAGAAATGAAGAAATCAACGCAAGAAGTATACCTAGAGCTCGTTCCCACGCAAATAATTTCCGAGGTGAAGTTTGCAGGTCTGCAAACTCTACGTGTTGATAAAGGGAGAACCTATGGTAACATTTCCGCCGCAAATTGTCGGTAGGATCGCATGACCAAACGGCTACAAACCGTGCTGCGGGGCAGCAGCTCAGGCACGAGCAAGACATTTTTACGCACCGAGGGGTTAGTGGCGTAAACACTTTAATTTTTTATAAACAGCCTATAATTTCGTAAACACGGAGTGTACGAGCAGGTAAACACTCGGGGGAAGAAGAAAAGTTTAATGATAGAGCAATGTTACAGGCGCGAAATAAAATGTTGACTTAAAATCGCATCATAAATCAAGGATTACACAGTGAAATACTGATAGAATATTTTGTTAACAAAAAGCAAAATTTATCAACAACAACGGTTGAAGATATAATGTAGGACTATTTTTTATGAACGAAACATAATCTGCGACAGTGAAATTACTTTCTATGTTGGATCACGAACAAGTAAAATTATAACCATGATGAAGATAAATTCATCATAACTATCGACTGCGGTTAAGAATCTGACGATGAAAATGTGCTCAAGACCAATATCGACGACGGCTAAGTATATATCTATGAAAATGTGATCAAGACCAATATCGACGATGGCTAAGTATATATCTATGAAAATGTGATCAAGACCAATATCGACGACGGCTAAGAATATAGCTATGAAAATGCGATCAAGACCAATATCGACGACGGCTAAGAATATAGCTATGAAAATGTGATCAAGACCAATATCGACGACGGCTAAGAATATATCTATGAAAATGTGATCAAGACCAATATCGACGACGGCTAAGTATATATCTATGAAAATGTGATCAAGACCAATATCGACGACGGCTAAGAATATAGCTATGAAAATGTGATCAAGACCAATATCGACGACGGCTAAGAATATAGCTATGAAAATGTGATCAAGACCAATATCGACGACGGCTAAGTATATATCTATGAAAATGTGATCAAGACCAATATCGACGACGGCTAAGTATATGACGATGAAAATGTCATCAAGACCAATATCAACGACGGCTAAGAATATGACGATGAAAATGTAATCAAGTTTAAAGAGCAACAGCGAAACTGTGCACGTTGTTGGTGGTGGGCGTCCAAGGCGTTGCAGATAAAGGCATGTTTAGGCCATTAGCGGTGAGCGCATATACAAGCAGCCCTCGCACATTCTTTACAACCACATCATGTGTGCGTGACACGCAAACTTTGGGTCATGTTTGACAAAAATTTACGTGGAAACCGAGTTATTATAATAACAAAAATAGAACTCAATAATTACCATATAATAAGACTAGTTGGAAAGAAAAAAATCAACTTCTTTCGGTTGAACAGGGAGAGCAAGCTTCTTAATTGTTGAATATTGATCTTCGAAATGTGAAAGACGTACGAGCAATAATACGATACTAGGTAATAATGCCGGGAAGAATCGTTACAAATTCAGAGGTATAACTTAGCTTGCAAATATGAATACTCATGAGAAGGATATATGCATAAAAAACTTAACCCGGAGTCAATCTTATCTACTTGAAAACGATCCGGCCTCTAGAACGGTGATTATTACTTACATATTTGATAAAGGAAAATGATTCAACACAAAATGGATTTCACGAACTTTCGAAAGCCTTTAATTTTATCCGGGTAAAATGCTCAAGAATAGATTAAAAGTTCGTCGATTACTTCTTTTGACCGTTAAGTGTTAGCAGGAATAAAACCAAATTTACAGTGAATTTAATACTGAGCAGTTAATTCTTGAGTTCAAATTAAATTTTATGCATTTGCAATTGGTCTTCTTAGCAGCAAACCTATCAGGTATTTAGTCGATTGACGCTAGATCTTGCGTCGATTTTCTGATTACAATGATCTTGTGTTGATATTTAAAACACAAAGTGTTCCTTGAAGAGTCGAATGATTAAAAAATAGCTGATAAACCAGGCGTATAACAATTTACGTAATAAATAAATGGTGGCTATGATAGTCTTTAGGATAGAGCAATTTGTCAAGAACATTGTCGCGGAGCAGATAAAATTATTCTATCGTATCCAAGATACCACGATGGTAAGGTCGCTAAGGCTTTAAAGAAACATTGTATGACAATGACGAAGTGGTCTATGTATGGAGCTTAATTTCAAGTTCCGTTACAAGAACATGATAACGCTATATAATGACGCCGGTTCTATAGAGCAGTAGTGGACTTCGAAACGGTTAAGTATATCCTGAATTTGTAAACGCGACATATTAAACAATATCTACGGCAACGCCTGCATCAAAGTAAGCAATCGACAACAAGTATTTTAGGCGCTTGCATGTAGTAAATCAATGTACAGTCTAGTCTTGATATTCTTTTTTCAAATGAGGTTTAAAAAATACTTTCTGGTGACTCACGACAGGTATTATAGGCGCATAAACGTAGTAAAGCAATATAGAGTCTAGTCGTGATATTTTCAAAGGAGATTTTAAAAAATCCTTGATGGCGACTCAAGCGCAACGCAGGAAATGCCTCAGATTTGAGCAATGACGCAGAGCACCACGCCGAGACGTGGGCACGCGACCCCAAATTTCCTATGCCCAAATTTCCTCCATATTCAAATTTCACGCGTATTGAAATTTCCCACGTATTTAAATATCCCGCGTATTTAAATTTCCTGCATAAGCAAGAAATAATCGGAGCACCTGGATGAACGGGACTGGTTCTCAAGAATATGTATTCACGGTGATGCACCAAACTTCTCGTGTAGAATTTTTCATTCTGTAAAATTCTCCGGACATTTTGAGGTGACTTGTTCCATGCATGCAAATTATATGATGATACCTGTGCTAACAATGTCAATATATAGAGATGACATCCCAGGACAGAAAGACAAGCATTTTTTATAACTTCATTATCTCAACACAAATATACGAAATCTGACGTGTGTTGTCAGTTGAGCAGGAGTTAACATTTGATTTTCGCCTATTCTTTACATTTAAATTCAGCCATATGCGATGACTGTAGCTGCCATGCATGGCTACCTTATAGTTTTGAATGCTGTAGCTGCATAGTACTAATGAATAATGGTTGCAAGATGTGCCTTTTTCCAGCCAAATTCCACGATTTGAGACTTTTTTTGCAATTGTGTAGGCCGGCTAAATTCTATGGTGACCTCAAACTTGCTGTATTTTTAAAAAATATGAAAAAAGAATTGTACCTTTTTTTAAACACTGAAAATTGAATTCAAAATGTACTAATAAATATTGAATTCCGGACCTTTATGAGCCTTTTTTTGTGAGTAGATTCGTTAGTTTTTTCTCCCACCATCTAAAAACCTTTTTTGGATACTGAGACGTATAGCTTAGTTTCAACACATTTCTTGCTTGTCATTTTCTAGATGAATTGATCAAGTCAGCACAATCTCTTTAAAACAATAATCTCTCGAAAATCTTACTAGGTGCTCACGGTATTGCCCAGAAAGATTGAGTCTAAACGCGTGTAGAAAATAGGCATGAAATGACGACATAACATTTAAATGTGTGAAAATAACTAAGAGTTTCATAATCACAAACAAGTAATGAAGGTGTTATACAAAAGCACGAAAGATTATTGAAAAAATCCGGAAAATATGCCTAAGGCTGAAACTACAGAATTGCAAAATGAATTTGAGTAGTGATGAAAAATTTCGTAAGATGAAGTTAAACTCAGAGTTGAGGTAAGCGTGTCAGCGCACCTGTAAGATTTATTCATAGCAATGAGCAGGATATGTCTGAGTCATGGACTATGTGTGAAGCAGAAACAGCATGCAACTCAATGCTACACAAATAGAACTCGATTGGGAAATAAGTTGAACGAAGATTTGTTATGGATAAACCTTCATTTATTAATTTTTAGCCTTTGTTAAATTGTAACGCGTGCGTGTGAATCACTTAACGATAAAATTAGTTATGGAACTGAACCACTGCGTAAATTAGTCTAAATAAACGGAACGATGAAAATGAAACAGTGATATATTCATTTCATGGAACAAATGTTTTTCTGCAGAGAATGGAATTCGACTGAAAATTATTGCCGCAGAAAAAGGATCAATTTATACGTCAAGCAAACGCGATCAAATTTGGTGCCTTCTAATAGAAAGAAGTGAAGAAATTAAAAATTTATAAATAACACATAAAATTGTGAAAATACTATTGAAAAAATTATTAGGCATGATTGAGTTTTTTCTTCACCGAATTTGTAGCCGAAGAGGTGACCGAAAACTCGCAACACTGTAAACCAGCATGCAACAAGGCCTCATCATTTATTTAATTTGAATAATTTATTCTCGTGTAAATGTTTAATCGTAGGAATGTTACTTCCGCCAGTGCAAAATATTAATTAATTATCGATACTATGAACCATTCTTAATGAAAATGAAGTGACGGATTGGACTTAGGCTAAAACCAGGCCGGAAAATAATAATTCTATGCAACTAAAAACAATCATCGTTTTTCTCACAGCAAAACATCGAGAGAAGCCAAACAAGGATTCGAAGCTTCCAATTTGTCATTATCTTGCAACATAAATCATTTCATTTCAAACTGTGTTGCACAACATCAGAGAATATATCTTACAAAAAAAACTGCATGTGTAAAGTTCATCGCACCCCGTCGTCAGGTAGGGTTGATACCAGGCGGGCGATTGAGCTGCTATAATGTGCAGCAACGCTCCTTATTTGTCCTCAACGGCCTGAATGAGGCTCGACCAACCCAGCCGCGCTCACATAAACACACAAGCAGACGTGTTTTTCACAGTCGCGAGCAATGCAGGACACACGACACAAACCTTCACACCTCAGAACTTGTGTAAAGGCACTTCAAACAAACCGTCAGACCAAAGCGCTTTTGTAAAGGTATTAAAGAGGCTACAAATAAGCCAGCAGACCGAAGAGCTTGAGTAAAGGTATTAACGACACGACGCAAAAGCCATCCTACCGAAGAGATTTGTAAATGTGTCCCTAGTTGGGCATGCATTCGGTGAGACCAACTGGCAACCAAGCGTTTCATTCATCATTATGCTTGTTTAAAAAAAAACAATTGTTATACTTCAGTGAGTAAAACACAACTGGATGAAAATCATAGACGCGTAAACGTAAAGAAGTTTAAAATCCTCGATCAATATTTCAACCAATTACATTTCATAGATCGCTATGCAAGTCTGTGTTGAAATCACTTAATCAAAAAAGGCCAAGCGGCGCCACAGCAGAACCATACGCCATGCAACCACTAAAGAGACATAACGCAATAATTGTAATTTTGTTAAAAAATAAACATGTCCGTACGCGCTCCATTCTGCAATGCGCCTTCACGCTAAACAGTCTGCAACGTCAAAGAGCGATTTTTATTATTTTAGGTTACACGTACGTTTGATGCGTTAGATAGAACTATTTGAACTTTTTCTTGAAAATGATTAGTTCTTGTCCGTCTGAAATTGGTAAAACGACAAATATCCTTTAAGAGGCAAGAACAATGCTCAATGCACATCAGCGTTCTTCACGACGACGGTAAGTAACCTCAGGTACCACAATTTCTTTGATATGCGTATGAAATGTATAAGGGGACGATAATAGGTAATCAACCACATTTTGACAATTACCAATAAAAAAAACGCAATTTTCACAATTGTAAATTGCATTTGAAGTTAAGGTTATGGATAATTGGTTTGGTCAAAACTTTTGTCGTGAATATTCAACGAAGGGAACCAAAGCCATTCTAGCCAATGCTCAAAGAGGAGCTTGCCAGCATTATTCTACAATAGGTGTACTCATCGCACTGTAAATTCGGTGATTCTGCTGCTGTACGGAACAATTAAAAACCCTCTAAATTTATCTGAAAATAGTTTGGCAAAAATGTTAATTTTAAACATGTCATAACACAGCAAAATCAAATACCTTTTCCATGAGAGCAACACAAGATGATCCCAACAATGGTAAAGATTTTGACAGAGATTCTAGTAGGAAATTATTGAATTTTAGTAACTTGTATTGGCATTGGCGCACTTTAAAGCCAAATGCAGAACGAAAACCATAGAGCACCTCTTGACACACAACAAAAAATATCTAGAACAACGTTTCTTGCCCCATTTTTTTTTATAGCTAGGATTTATCGTCCTCAGAAAATTTTCAAATCCAAATTGAATTATTCTTCAATTAAGACAAAAATCAGGTCATGTGCCAGCCAACTTTAATTAAAAATTTAGAATGGAAAATTAACGGAGGATATTACTTGACTAAAATCATCATAATTTCTGTCAACATACATTGTCGGTTAATTATTTTTCGATTCAAGAATCTTAATTGCGAATTATAAATGAAAAAACGCAAAAAAGTCAAGCAGAAAAACATTGCATTAACTCTAAACTTCTCAAAATTATAATCTCTGTTGAGTTATTTTCCACACACATGTAACCTGCACATAGACCATGTTGCTCAACTTTTCAATTCGATATAAAATCTTCATCGGATTGTGACGCAGGCCACTCAGCAGGCTTCAGCTATAGGGGGCCTCCAGATTGCCCATATACACAGCGGGATTCCGACGTTGCATCATTATGAACAGCTCATACATCATTAAGTCCAACTCGAGATCAGTCATTCTAACCAACGTCGTACTATACGCGACTTGTATTTCATGATGAACAACTAACTCATATGTAGCATAATAAAGAACTTAGGGAACGTAACGTCCAACTCGGGTGCCATGAATTCCAAATCTAAGTATCATAAACGCTTTTATCAAGTACCTTGATGTCAGACATAAGCTTCAAAATACAATGATCATTTCATGGTCCACAATGTCAAACTTCTGAAGCGCTATGCAAAAATAACTTTTCAAAATACATAAGGAGTATCATGATGTTAAAATTACGTTCTTTAACCTGGATCAACGTTGTGTAACTTAACTATTGTTGTTATAGACACAAGTTGTAATATGATGAAAAACCACATATTCAAAAGATAAATTGGAATGTAATGCAAAAGGGAATTGCGAGTTATTTTCACAACCTCGTCTTAATCAAGCGTGATAATGGAAAAGAAAAAGGAAAATTTATAGCAAAATTTTAGAAATGGATTGCAGTTTAATTATTCTGACATCTTCAATACAAGTCTACATGATTAATTTTTTTTCACGGTGTAGTAGTTTGATAGGGTCTGCGATGCTAAGCAAGCGATTTTCAGCAAAAGATATTGACCACTAATGCGCGGTGAGAACTTAACATGTCCTTTACCATGTCCTATTAGTATGGCTGATATTATTTAAATAAATGTTCTCTCCAACTATTTGAAAACTTATCAAGAATTATTATGAAGCCAGAACCCTGTCTGAAACCATAGTTTCAGAGAAAATTACAGATATCTTCATGCGACCCGACTTATACTGCATCATATATTGCCGTTATCTATGGTAAGGCATCTACTAGCCTCAGTCCCATTCACCACAGCTTCCAGGCCATTATGTCTATGAATGAATCGAGTACAGAGTACCGAGGTGCATTGCCCGCGCTTTCGCCCTTTTTCGCCTTACACTCGTCCATACGCCAGCTGTTTCCGAGGTCACGATGCTAAAAGAAACCATCTGGGCATGCAGATAGGCAGCGAAGGTCAAGGCTATTCGTTAGTATTTATATTAGATGCAAGAATAAAAAAATAGTTTTCGATTGTAGGCAACCATAAAAAAAACAAAGCAAATTATTTTACCAACGCGAAAGCATTAGAAGCGATTGATTTTTTCATTGAAAATAAGTTAGTACTAAGAATATACTTCACTTATCAAAACACTGGCAAACAAGTAATAATAAATCGACTGAATTTGACAATATTAACCAAATATCAAGAAAAAACTTACCATCCGCATCAGTAAACCAAACAAATTCCATGAATGGCATTGCAATTTGTACTGAGGGAGAGCCGATATTGGACGCTTGCTGTTCAAGAAACAAACTCGATGAACTAGAATCGAAAGATTCGCTGGATCCAACTGAATCTAAGCTGCATTTTCTTCCATGGGAAAACCACGATCCTCCAAGGTTCGGCAACCGAAGCGAAGTAGATTTGGTCAACGGTTTATTCCTTTTTCTTGAACTCTCTTCCGAGTTACTGGAAGCACACGAAAAAGACAGTAAATTTACAGCACTACGAGAATTCATCAAAGGCGCATCGGAGGAACGATTCTGGCAGAATGCCGACGTTTTGACTAGATTTTCCATGGACATTTTTTCTTCGCATTTTTCAATGGACGCCAATGTTTCATCTAGAATACCAGTGTCTACTTTCCGGCGAATTTGAGGACTAGCGTAGATATCGTCGACGGGCAAACGTTGAGAATGGAGTTCATTAGGAACTGATGTTTTTGATTTTGCTGAAGATTTATACAACAAAGAACTGGCTGATTGTAGATCAATGAGCATTTTCTTCTTCGACAGGATAGCGAGCTCAGTCTCATCGTCTTCTTCTATGGGTTTTGAAGCAAAAGCGCAGATATTGTTTTTTGTTAAATTATGTAATGTGGTAGAACTATCACAACGATTAGAATATCGATGATTTGCTTTTTGTAACTCAGAGGCCAAATTGGATTCAGAAATAGGCAGAGCTTCGTTTTCAGTTTTTTGAGAGCAGAACAATGAAGTGTGCGTCAGTTTTCCAGTCTTTTCAATTGGACTTCGGCACTGTTTGGTGCGTAAAGACTCACGCATTAATTGTACTGGATCAGGTAAAGACTTTTGCACAATCCTGGACTGAGTAAAAGGGGAAGCTCCAGGAGGACAAGGAACGGACAGATGGCCACCAATGCTTCGCATGCCATCATGACGCGATGGCTTCGAATTGAACGATGAAACTAAGTTGGCTTGCATTGTTGAATAATCAATAAAGTTCAATAACAAAAAAATCTACGAATAATACGCTTTGAATTTCATGATACCTTTTCAAAAGCGAATTAGTCTATTATACAAATCCAACCAAATTAATCTATAAGAAGAATGTAGGAGGATTAAATGCTGTATTATCATACATAAACGTTTCAAAAGTATTCTGTTAATATCATTGATCTTAAAACACGCAATGTTCATTACTCAATCGGATGTTGAGTCATGCGGTATCAAAAGTCATTCGCAAGATCAATTTCAAGATGCATTCCTAAACAGCTCCGCAACCTCTAATAAAATTAATAGTTTATGTAAATAAATTATGGCTGTAAATAAATAAAATCTGCAGCTGATGAAGAAATTCTTGCAGCTGGCTAGCTAATTTAAACTTCAAAATAATGCAGAGAATGTTAGAACTGCAGCCAACGATCTGGCTGAGATACAAGCAGACAAAATTTAACTCGCTGAACTGTGGTTATTCCTCAGGTATGCGATACCGAATGGCGAACTCAAATTTTTACTAATTAAATCTTCGGAAATAATAAAATAGCAAAATTAGTTACCGCGTAAAATATAGACATAAAATTTATAATAGAATATAAGAATCGGTCTTCAAAAGAAGATTTAATTATTTCATACTCGCACTCATAAAAATATGGCGATGCAGATCGCCAGGACTTTTTCAGAACCGAATACTGTTTGGGAAACTCTGTTGATCACTCGACACTAATTGTTTCCTAATTAAATGAAAGAGAATTGAAATCAATAATCTCTTCCGAGAGATAACAAAATTTGGTTATTCATTTGTTTTCAAATTTTTCTCAAGAAATACTCCTGTAAAAGGAACAATAACAAGTTTCAACTATTTTAATTTGCAGTAACAAGATTCAACAAGAACAAAGCTCATTTAATTGAAATTCAAGTATCAAAGGAAAGAAGCACAAGGAAGCATTAATAAATCATAAGGTAAACAATATAACACAATAAAACTATGATGTATCCAAGCTACCGCTGCTTCATCTACAACCCCTCATGACACCAAACCTCATGACACCAAATATAGCGCTGCGCGGTATGGACCATCATCCGAGAATGGATCATCAAACAATTCGCCGGCCAATTAAAAAATTATAAATGTATGCCTTCCGGCACAGGAAATATTGTGCCTCACTGTAGCTGGACAGCTCGAGAAGATGGATCGGTTTACGAAACTGCAACTGCGCTATCAAAGTGATAGATTAATAGAAACTAATTCGTCAAGAGAAAAGAGGATTTTTGTGCAAAACAAGTTCAACAACATATTTATAAAAATATTTTATGCAGTATTTTAATGTTTAGCGCCGCTGTGAAGTTTTATGGGCAAAGCTAGTTACGATCTTCAATAATTTTAAATAAAAAGCACCAAGAGTCTTATACCGTGCCTGTCATTTCATAACAATGCACAAAAACTGAAATTTTTTAAATGAGAAGGTTGTGACGAGTATAAAACGAACAGCCGATTACTTCATTTATAATAAGTATGCAATCAGAATAATCAGAAATAGGCAGGTTAAGATGCGCAGATTGGTAGAAATTACTGCGAGAAACCAATTCTTTGGATTATGATATCATAACTCAAGAACAATCATTTTCAAGTTCTTCGTCAAAAAACCAGCGAGTCAAAAATTTACAGGAAATATCAGTTGAAAATTGCTATTATTATTATTATAAGTATTCTAACATAATTCAGATTTAACGTCAAATAACAAGCACTGAAAAAATTCTTTCACTTGATAAAACTTCATTTTAGCTAATTAAACAACGGTTAGTAACAAAATCAGGTCCAAGCTATATAATTCACAATAACTCAAGTGTAGCAAACCTCAACAGAAAATAATGCGTTCAGTTTTCGCACTACAACCGAATTCCGAAAGATTAAAAGGTGAATTTTTCACCGCTCTGCTCCTACAGCACACACCACATGCAACTGATGCCACGGACCGACTGAGACAAAAAGTTTCTTTCACGGCAAACTTGAGTAAACAACCGCAGTGAGCGAGCGACGAACAGCCAATGAGCAACGAGGAAAACCAGCAGCACAGAAGCTACTGTTGATCTTCACTTCAGTGCAGGAGCGGATTTAACAGCCAAAATAATTAAATTGAAAACAGCAATGCATCTCACTAGAGATTCATCAAGGGTTTTTGGCCGGAGCAATTCTCAGATGCACAACACTCGAGGCTTCCGTTCCGAGAATGCAAATGGTATATGCAGCTCATTTAGTACGCGGGTAATGTGCGAGTTCAGCTCGCGCATCAATGAGTTCAACTAGCACACAGCTTAAAAAATATAACTCAGTACTCACTGCAGTAAGTGACAGAGAGCGCATTTTCTCGTCGACGAAAACGTGGTCACGGACGAACAGACGGACGGACATGACGAGCACAATGACGTCTTTTTTCTATAAATGAGAAAATGCGATAAAAACGGCAATCCAAGATATTACGATGGAAGTTGTTTGCAATAATTAAGTGCATAAACGCTTAAAATGTAAATCTAAATTTTCAAATAATACAAATTTGAACGTCCAAATCGAACGCTTACGTGGAATGAGTAGCAATCGGATAAAAAATTTTCAAGAATAATTAATCATATGAAAATTATCGAAGAACAAAATGCTCGTCATCAAGTAGAGCAACCAACCGCCAAGAAACTAATAAGCTGCCCAATAAATGTGTTAACTTCTCAGTCCTGAGTATGGAGCTACAATTCAACGACTATGCGGGATGAAGAATAGCGTCGTTTTATGCAAATTATGTTCTGATCATAAAAAGCGCACGAGTATGAGCAAAAGCTAATTTAAATATAAGCTAATAATCTGATTGTATAGGATGGGATTTACCAAGACCCAATTAAATAAAAATAAACTGTTAAGGAACCATCTGCTTTTAAAGACCTCAAGCATAAAATCGAGTAGTTTAGTGAGCATCACTAAACACAATATCAACGGTATTTTTTATATCCGAACACAGCGAATGATTTGCAAGCTTCCTGAATGTGCAAGTTTACTGATTACCTTGTGCAATATGAGCCATCATATGAAGCTGATAATCAAACAATCAAATTTTATATAGCTTTCATCCTCCAGAAAAAGATAGTATTTACTTTCCACACCTCAGTCTCCATCATTTTTTTCTAATCTTAGTTCGAATATTTGCAATAAGGTATATATAGCTTCCAAATATTCAAGTGGAAATATAGCTTCCACTTAAATATCGAAGCTTGCAAAGTTCAGATAATATTACAGTGGATTTTGCATAATTTTATCATCTAATAATTGAACCCACTGACCTCGCGTCCAAGAAAACACAAGGAACGCATCTAGGGATGTGCAAATAAATTCACAATGAATCGTACAAGAAAAATACGTCTAAATAAAATTGAACACTTAATTCCCGTACTCCCCGCATTAAACATATGAGACATCTAACATCATAAGGAAACACTAAAATATAACTTACCTTTCTTGCTTTTCCGCGAAGGTTCACCGCTTTCCTTGAACTGTTTTTCGAACTCCTCTTCACGGACCTTCCACCGCCTTACTTGCTCCTCACGCATTTTACAAATGAGCAGCTGCTTCTGATCTTCGTCTAGCTCGGCCAGAAGTTCAGGCTCTATGTACATATCGTTGAGGATCTGCTGTAGCATTGTGGTGGTTGGCTGTGCTGCTTTGCTTCGTTCGAGGATCAGTCTAGGTGACGAGGTGACCTCAAAACAACGTCTGACAGATGGTTGAGTTAGCCCTCAATCTTGAGCGTCAGGTGATCAGGCATCAAAGAAAATGAGACGGTGCGAGAGAAATGTGAATTTTGATGGGATACTATTATAAGAGACCATATTAATCCAGATGGTTGTGTGCGTTGCTGATTTTAAAGTAAAATCTCGACTGATAGTAACAGCGAAAGTAAACAGTAGATAAAATATATGGAAAGAAAGAAACAAATGTTTATGCGTCTCTAACAATTTTTAGTAGTAATTCGTCCACAATTAATTGAGTACCGGTATCAAACTTTTAATACTGCTTCTGTGATCAGTTCGTCCGTCGACACTCGAGCGCTGTGACCAAATCTGAAAAGAAAGAACAAAACAATTAGATATTTCTAAAAATCTATCAATGATGCCAGTATTAATGAAATAAAAGGTGCTTGATGCTACCATATGCCGCGCTTAGTATGTGAGTATATGTATATTATAAGATAAATACAACTTGTTTCTGCATTGGCCACGACTTGCAATAATGCAATTTGACAGAATTTAAAAAAATGTGTGCTGATGCTTAATAATTCAAAAAGCAGCTTAACTCACAATCCTCAAGTAAACAAATAACGAAATGAATAAGAATAAATAGCTTTATAAGCTGACGCTTCATGTTATAAGAAATTGAATGAAATATCGGCACGTCCTTAGTCCTTAGTATCCTTAGTATTTGTTTGGGACATAGCAGTCCCAGGCCACGATGGATCGTATAACATTCCATTGCATCAATGATGATTCCTGCATCACACGACAGTCGGAGGGCAAGTTAAATAATGATGATAAGCATCATTCACCAGCTTCAATCAATGGCGTCAGCTTTTCATCAACGATTAGGTGCAGAGAGGCTCATGTCGGAACCAAAATTGCGAGATCCTCCAACGTTTATCAGAGGTATATAAATTATTAAAAATTTATGCTTACCAAAACAACCATGCGATGTCCGCTCTGCGTCTAAAAAAGCCGTGCCTCATCTGCCGTGCAGATAGCAGCTTATATCGTACGCCACAGCCGACCATGAAATTTATAGCAGTGTGAAATTCTAAAACTTGTGGTTCATATATTGAATATCGATCTAGTCAGGTACCTTGATCGATAGGTACAATTTGTTCCAAAATATCAATTAAAAGTAAAAAGAAAATTTAATGCCAGATTAATAGCTCCAATATATGTGTACTCGTTCATATATCACACATTATGAATTTCAGCCACGGCGTAGCTACTGCATGTGTCTACACGCAATCACTTTCGCTAGCGAGAGCTACAACAGAGGTAGGCGTCTACGTATTCTGCATT